CGATATTGTGCTCCGCTTCAATCGCAGCATGGCCAGCGCGGATGAACCGTCACTTGAGCTAGCGTCGTTAGCGGCCGCATTTATGGATTGACAGCTAGCCATGATGTGATGATGACTGAGGAGAGGAAGCAATTTTTTTTGTACAAGGTTCAACCTGTGATGCTCTCTGTATGTTGTGTCACTTTAGGCTGCCGGAACTGCAAGTTCCACCTGAGAGGTTTGCGCACGGCCTAGAAGTATCTGCCCGCTGATGGTTGGCTCTATTATTAGAGAGCGGTGTAAATCGCACATGGCTTCTTGCAGGCATTATCTTGCTGCCCGGCATGATTCCGTCATTAAAGTCAGGAATAGTACGAATAGCTTGAAGAAGAATGACGCTGCTTCGAAAACCTGTGTGGCTGTGCGGCTTTGCCATGAGAGTTTCTCGTGCCTTGTGTCGCCAAGTGCAACTCGACACTGCGAATTTCACCTCCTCAATTTCGTATTCTAGACCGCACCAGTGATGGCTAGTCAATTGAGGCTTTGTCAATCAATAGCAAGCTTTGTCTTTGACGGCAGGCTGCAGCCATATCACCCGCTTCTTCGAGCTCAGCGGTTTGAGCGGGTGTACTAGGCTTGCCCTCGTTTCCACCACAAGACAACTGTGGCTTGTTACAGTAATCTTCGCTGTCTTGGCTCGTTGGGGATGGGCTTCTGCGTTTAGGTCAGGGGATATTGTGCATATCCGGGCCCGCTCAATCGGTGGTCTAGAACGTCTATTATAGTGGAAACCAGGTCAAGGATTCCTTGCTGAATGTCATGTTCAGCGCCTTATTACTGACAATTTGATGACCGGAACAGTCTCATCGATCGATGAGACGCAGCGCATTGGTTGACTGGCAAGTCGTGCAGCATGAGTAGGCACATGCTAAGAAGACTCAGAATGAAGTGATGCCAAGGTCTGTTGCTGGACTCTTGGTGGCTTTGTAGCGCCCGCGCTGTGCGGTCAACTTGTCTAACTCGGAGGCTTTTCCTGCTTTTAACTAATCCGTAGTACTAGTAGGACACATTTGTTTCAGGGATATGGTGTAGACTTACCTGTGTGCGATGAAGCGGAAATTGTCGAGCGTGTGTGGACATAACTAAGGTGTAGTAGCTCACCTTGGCCCGACAGCCAGATATTTCGCATCCAAACTCAACGATCTAGAGTCCACACGATGATGGTTGCAATAAGATCTCGTAATCTGTAGGCTATCCGCGCAGCAGGTGACGTTGCCATTATGGTACGCGCAGACTTAGAAGATAAATGAGCCAATGAACACACTTCGCGGGTAGCTTTGCTCAAGGGTCGATTTCCCATCAAAGCATCGTCGAAACTGACAGACTCGAGATGAGATGTAATGTGTGTAAATTTACCGTGTATTCGAGCTTTGCAAGCTGGTGCCCGTAAATAAGCGTCGTAGCTATTCTCGGCACAGACCCGGGCCGCCAAGATGAAGCCGGGCGCGCAGGCCAATGGATGAGAACTGATCGGCCGCTAGGTAGAGCTGTTGGGGACCGGTATATCAGGGCATTGTACCATATCCTGTTGGCAGCATCGGGGCACTTATGAGGATCAATGCGCAGAGTCCAATATGAAGGCCGAAAAGCGACCTATCCCAATTGAGGTGATAGCAGAGAGGAATACATGTCGACGGCCTGGCCTGCGGCAACAACGTAATTGGTCTAAGGTAGGCGATGACGCGCCGACGAACTGCATGAACCTACGCCGCCCATGGTCAGCAGCCCACATGTCACACACGCACTTTAAGACCACCCACATTTTCAAGAAACCGGGGGAAGCATATGACAGCCCAGAATACGACAGTGTTGTTACAGTATTGAGTCGCCGGCATCCCATGATGGTCAGGGAGCTGCACATGTATTGGGCAATTGGCATCCTCATGCTAGTATCGCCACAGGGCGTAATGTGTGAGGTGTGGTGACCAGCTGGCTGATGCGAGGCAAAGGAACTACGTATGCAAGCAAGCAGCCAACATGAGGTAATGGACGAGCAAGGCCGTGTCGCCCTGGCCGAGTGGCGATTGCTGGTGACTTGTTGGATTGTGCTCTGCCTTGACAGGCGTGACAGGGTCCCACAATGGCCTGGCCCAGCACCTGCATGTATTTCCGTTGCGCATATTGGCAGGCAACAATGCGGGCAGTGGCTGTGCGGCTCAATCGAGGCCTCGAAAATGGAGCCGCCTATTAGCCACGTAGCCACCCACGTAGGGTAGCGTAGGGTAGCGTAGGAGCGGTTGGTGTTGAGAGGCGGTCGGCCCAGTCGAGGGACCAGTCAACCAGTGTCTTGAGCATGGTGGTGGCGAGGCTGCGCTTCTGCAAGCAGTGCTGAGCTGAAGCGAGCATCTGCAAGGCATCTGAGCAATGGGGCTAAGACGCCGAGAAGCCAAGGAGTATCGCTGTCGAGATGTGCACCCTGCATCGAATAGACGCCTTCATAGATGCCGAACAACGAATAAGCACCAGAGGGGTGTCTTGCATAGATGGAGCTGTTTAGACTGGACAGAACTGAGGCGCAAAGCTCGGTGGCAACGGCCCGCCGAACACGGGTAGCTCCAGTTTGGAGACTACTCGAAGAGGACATGGCGAATGTATTCTTGATGGTTTTTTTAGGTTGAATTTCATTCGTTGCTGGAATAGTTGGCGCCCTCGTGCGTAGACTTCAGCAACGACCACCAACAGCTCGAGTCAGTATTAAGCATGACAGCTAAAGTGTCTACTAGTATCGTGTCAGGGAGCGATCTGTTCAATTTCCTCTGTCTTTGAAGCTTATTGTGATAGTTTTGACATGCCTCTGCAGTTTGGCGATGGCACTAGCACACAACACGCGATGGTTGAGGGTGGCACCAAAGCAAGCAAACAGAAGCCAGACGCAGCTAGCAAGAGTGAGAATGCATAGAAGCAACAAGCTTGACGAGATTAGGGGTCCACGGGGTCCACCGCGGCCGTTGGCGAGAGGACCTGTGTTGGGCGAGGAGATGGGGTGGGATAGGGAATTGTGCGCGTTGGTTGAATGCATGTTCGTTTTTGGATTTGGTTGGTGGCCTGGCAAATTGTGGTGATTGACAAGAGGTTTGGAAAGCTGGTAGATTATTTAGTCAGGCGTGCACGATGGGGCATTGCCGCATTGTGCATCATGTCGGTACCTGGGTACATCGGTGCCTTTCCGTAAATACCCATGGTGCCTACTCAAGTTATTCAAGTTGACGTTGACAATTGATCTGTACCTCTTTTGGGGGTTCTCTGATGATAGAAAGGTCAAGTGTCTCGGGGTTGCTTTTAGGGGCCTTGGGAGGGGGAGGAGGGGGGGGTGTATGGATTCTAGGGGCTGCAGCGTGACCTCAGGCGGGACTTGTAGGTACCGCTAGGCTGGGTCAGCAGCCAAAAAGTGAAGACGCACTGCGACACGGTAGGGCGTATCGAGCTCGATTCGGTGCAGTTGTGTGGAAAGCAAGCAGATGGGTGTGCCATCGCGGAGGCGGCAAAGGATTGCGACGACGAATCGTGCAAGGCCACGAAAGAGGATACATCTTCTGTGAGTTGTACTGCATTGCTTTCCGTTGTCCAGAAGGCTTCGGAAGTGAAGCCGTTGTTATACGGCGTTAGGTAAAAAGGGTAGGTAGGTATCAGTACCAGAAGTTGAACAAACCCAATGCCTGCTGGGCGCCACCGGACCCCCCTTCCATGTCCGCTACCTACAGTACCTAGGTAAGGTAGGCTGCTGCCGGGCTGCTAGCCTCGCTCCCCCACCTACTTGTGCCGCGACTTATGCTTGTATGCACCTACGGGCGGCGCTATCAAGTAAAAGCAACACACGGTACTCCGTAACACCTCCTAGGTTACCTAAGTAGGTAATACAAAGAATGTTGAAGGCTGATGCAGGCTGCAGCATGAGGATGCGGCAACTAAACCAAGACAAAATTCAAGTTTTATTGTACACCACATCGATCACAGTTGGGTAGGCACGCACTGCTAAGTCAAGTTCATCTGTTGGAAATGGCTTCAAGTCTCCATGCAAGGCGACCTGATTTGATGGTCGCTGCGACACCCGCTGTAGCACATGGCCGCCACTACCTGAGGTTAGCGCCAGTCGCCGTCCACCGCCCGCTGGGCCTCTGCGCTCTCACTGGCCAGAACAGAGTTCCACTGTAACCGCCTGCTCACCTGGCTCAACTGCTGTACCAGGACTGCATACTTGAAAGTCTTCGTACTTGGTAGCACTGGCTGCACCTGTAGGTAAAATGCGCTTCCGCCACCCGGCCCTCCACAGGCCTTGTCTCGCCCATTCCCAGCGGCCCCCCGGGGGGGGGGGGCACTCTTCGATCGGCCTTCAAAAACACCGGCACCAACTCTTTCAACTTTGCCTCTTCTCTCAACATTCGCTCTGCCTTTTGTCAGTGCGTCAGCATTCGTTTTTTCTAAACCTTCTCTCCGGGTTGCTTGTCCTAGTCATCGGCGTCTATCTAGTCGTCCCTATTCCTTACCATCGGCACTTTGCAGCCGGTTTTGGTTGCTCTTCCCTTCTGTCCCGCAGCGGGTCGTATTTACTCGTCAGGGCCGCAACTCGAACCCTCAATCCCGCCACCTTGCGACGGTGCAACACCGTTTCCTTTGCACCCTGTGTCTACAATTGCCACGGGGCATGGCCATGGTAGCTTCTCAGTGACTATCTTTACAGCTTTCTGTATGTACTTTGTGTCTCGTCCATGCTGATTCCACCCCCTTTCACCAGTCGCTTCACCAGCGTTTGGCCTCTGTTTGCTTCCGTTGGCCCTCACTTCATGCCTGGCCAAGGCCAAAAGCCTTCATGCCTGGCCGAGGCCTTCATGCCTCCATGCCTGGCCGAGGCCAAGGGCTTTTATACCTGGCCGAGGCCAAGGGCTCTTTTTTCAACTTCGATCCTGCATCAATCTCCATCAGTCAACCGACCAAAGCTAACAAAGATATCTACCTAGTCCGCCATGGCGGTCGCTGACAGTTCATCGGCTCTACAACAGCGACTATCCGACTCCTCCTTACCTATCTCGGACCTGATCCTTCGCGAGACGCAATACTTGTATTCGTTGACGCTTCTCGTTGCATTTATATCATGCGTCGCATGGTATAGCGTTTACAATGCTAAGAAGCAAGAGAACATTGTTCAATCTCATATCAAGGGCCCCGGAGGAAAGCCACTACCCGTCACCAAGAGGAAGACCAAGGACGATGGCGAACGAAAGCTTGGTCCGCACTTTGGCCCGGCTGCCAAAAATGCCTTCCGCTATCTGGCTGGAGTCATTTTTCTCTCCTACGTTGCAACCGGAGCCTTCATGTTTGATCATGCCTTCTACCACGACAATCCCTATAAATGGTCTAAAGAGGGCCTCTCGTGGGCTGGTGAATGGACCGTTGTTCACGTTCTTGGCTCCACCTTCTTTTACCTTTACATACTCTTTTCCCTTTTCGACTGGAAGAAGGGACCAAATGTCGTACACCTCCTGATCTGGGTTCTCGGTCTGGTGGGCGAGGTGGTTATCTTCTCAACCACCTTTATAGCTGCATCTGAATGCCACCTCGCCAGCCCAAAGCCGGAAACGACTGGAAAAGACTGCATCGATCGTTGGACCAAGTTGGATCTAATTCTATACTTTGTCCGTATCCTGCACTTGATTGCACTTATTGGTGTCTTTAGTATCGCCTGGATCGGCAAAGTGCGTTGGAAGCGCTCTGACAAGCTGGAAGACGGCTTCGCCCATGAACAGACCCCTCTCCTAAATGGCAATCACAGATCATATGAGGCTCAAAATGGCGATGCCAATCGTACCGATTCGAATGGTCGCGATGCGAATGGCCGCGAATCCTTTTCTCGCCGCTCCCGAGGCCGAACTATGTCCAATGCGGCCAAACACTCGGCCCCCGCTTCACGCAAAGACGAGAATGCCGCTTTTTATCGACCTCAAAAGCTTCCTCACAAGACTTGGTGGGAGTATATCCGCGGATATTCTCTCTTCTTTCCCTACTTGTGGCCCAAGGATTCAGTCAAGCTGAAACTGCAAGTCCTTGTTTGTTTCGTCTTGGTCATCATTCAGCGCATCGTCAACATCACCGTCCCCATTCAGATTGGTGAAGTTGTCAAGCAACTCAATTATGCCATCAAGGAAGTGCAAGCTGGACAGCCACTGACTATGGATCTCTTTCCACTCCGCGCTTCCCTGCTCCTTGGAGTTCTCTGGGTTCTTCAGGGCATGCTCGGACCGCTCCGATCATATCTCTGGATCCCCGTTTCTCAATATTCGTATCGGGGCTTGACAACGGCTGCCTTCAACCACGTGCATTCTCTAAGCCTGGATTTTCACCTCTCCAAGCGCACTGGCGAAGTCTTGTCTGCACTCAACAAGGGTTCTTCCATCAACTCTTTCCTCGAGCAGGTCACTTTTCAAGTCATTCCAATGCTGTTCGACTTGATTCTGTCCATTAGCGTTTTCTACTACAGGTTCGGCCCTCTTTACGCGCAAATCAATTTGGTCGATACTTGTTGGTATCTTTACATGACCATCAAGATGGCGTCGACTAGAGCTGACCAGCGACGCGAAATGACCAATGCTGACAGAGAGGAAGAGGCCGTCAAGAATGATTCAATATCAAGCTACGAGACGGTCAAGTATTTCAACGCCGAGGAATACGAGTTCAACCGTTACCGTGGCAAGGTCGGAGCCTACCAAAAGGCCGAAGCTCAGGTACAGATGGGCATGGTCATGATGAATGTTTGCCAGACTCTTGTCTTCAATATTGGCAGAATTCTTGCGGCTCTTATCTGCGGCTGGCAGGTTGCGGTTGGAATGCGCGAGTCCAGTGAATGGTTTGTCGTGATTTCCTACCTGACCCAGCTTCAGGGACCACTCAACTTCTTTGGCACTTTTTATCGGACCGTACAGCAGTCCATGATTTCCGGCGAGCGTTTGCTCGAGCTCTTCAAGATCCAGCCTACGGTTGTCGACACCCCCAATGCAAAGCCCCTCGAAAACTTTTCTGGTCACATTCGCTGGAACAATGTCAGCTTTTCTTACGACAGGCGTCGTACAGCGCTGCGCAACATCAGCTTCGAGTGTCCGCCTGGAACCACGACCGCGTTTGTGGGTGAGTCCGGTGGGGGGAAATCGACACTGTTCCGTCACATGTTCCGTTATTATGATTGCGACGAAGGCAGCATCGAATTGGACGGCAAGGACGTGCGAAACTTGACCATCTCATCCGTTCGTCGCCACATTGGTGTTGTACCTCAAGACACAACCTTGTTCAACGAATCGCTCATGTACAATTTGAGATATGCGAATCCAAATGCCACGGACGAAGAAGTGTATGCTGCATGCAAGGCAGCTAGCATTCACGACCGAATTTTATCCTTTCCCGACCAATATGAAACCCAGGTTGGAGAGCGCGGCTTGAGGCTGAGTGGAGGCGAGAAGCAGCGTGTGGCCATTGCTCGCACAATTCTTAAAAATCCTCGCATCATCATGCTTGATGAGGCTACTTCGGCCCTGGACTCCCACACAGAGCAGGAGATCCAAGAGAATGTATGGAGCATTGGTCAAGGCCGCACCTTGCTCATAATCGCCCATCGACTGTCCACAATTACCCACGCCGACCAGATTATTGTGCTCCATGCGGGCACGATTGTTGAGAAGGGCACACACGAGGAGCTTCTGGCTGCTGGTGGTCGTTACGCGTCGATGTGGGAGAAGCAGATCCGCGCCGAACGCGCGCTTAACGCTGCAAGAGAGGCGACTCAGCGCGCCACGCGTGCTCTCCGCAGGGCTAACATGAGCCACAAGAAGGGAACCGAGACGCCACTAGACGGCTATAACAGTGTAGGCTCCTCGGCCTCTCTTTCCGGCAACAATGCAAGCCGCGGATCCAAAAAGAGCAAGAGTGACGATACGACCGAGGAAATCACCACGTCCGGGTCTTCCTCCTCGGACGACGAGTCTGGACACACCGAGGAGCATTCGCCCGAACGCAGCAAATTGAATCAGTAATTACTTCAGCCAGCCCGATTTGGCTTCCATCATTTTAATTTTTCAAGGGAGAGACGTATTTTCCGTACCGTCATAGATGGCAACAAGACTCTGGGAAGCGGTAGAAGACCAATGCTGCACACCGTGAGGTGGTTTTTTTGGCACTTAATATTCATTACTGTCCAGAGCGACAGACAAGCGGGATTTTTTTCATTGAGCTCTTCTTTTCTTTTCTTTTCTTCCATTTTCACGAGTCAGTCGTTTTTTGTTCTTTGCTTTTACTGCGCCGAGGCATATGATGTCATGAAGAACGATTTTTTTCTCTTCTCTCTATCCCCGGCAAGACATACCGGTTATCAAATCTGCATATGAGCGGCGTTGATGGGGCGTCTGGTTGTTATTCTTTATCATTGTCTCTCTTTGCTTTTTCCATCAATCATATTCGACGCTGACTCTTTTACTTTTGATTTCCTGATTCTCTTTCTATGTCCACATCTGCTAGTTATGTTGCTGATTTTTTTTTTCGGGACCATATTGGACGGTCTGTAATATGCCGACGCGGGTGAGCAGTCTTCAATTACGGGAAAAGAATCAAGGAAAGGAAGGGGAAAAGAACTTATGAATGCGTGCTTTTTTTTTTTCATTCGATCTGTCTAGAGCGGCGAGCGCATTCTGGCGCAACAAAACGAGCGTTTTTCAGTCTGTTTTCCTGCCTTCCTCTGGGAAGAAGAGAGTTACGAATGACTCTATTTTGGACGATTATCGGCATAGGTAGAAATGAATGCAACTCACGTCGCCTTTCCACTCATTGTCACAAATAGTACAGAGTGAGTTGACTATGGTTTTACTGCTGAGTGAGCGGTGTAGAGGAACGATGAGGTAGTCGTAACGAATGTCATGTGCCGCTGCGGGCAATTATTAAAATATGCTAAAGTACAGAGAAGAAATCGGGCGGCTTAAGTCATAAATAAGGACTGCCCACCACCAGCAGTGGCGAAGAAACTATGATACAGAGAAGAGAAGAAATTAAAGAAAGATTGATGGAAAATTGAGACACACGCATTTATCATGTCATCCCATCATGCCAGTACACATCCCGTCAAGCCAACACACCAACATTACGGACCATCAAGTCCCCGTTTCTCCATTGTCATGCAAATCTTCAGTCCCCGGTGGCTCAGTCGCGGTGACAAGAGATGAAAGGGGAAAGGGGGGGGGGGGGGGGAGGGGGCGGATATCATCAACAAAGCGAGTTGTAAGTACGTTTATGCGAAAGCCTGGCCAACGCCCTCTCGTTCCTTTCTCTCCCTGTACCGTGTAGTGGCCAAAAGAAGAAGAAATAAAATCCGATAAGCCATGCAATATTCTTTTTGCAAAATATTCGACCAATGAATCATTTTTCCATATTCTAAAGGGGGCCCTCGTTGAAGAAAAAAAAGAGGAACCAACAAAGGTTTGTCCTATTCTGACTTGCCATTAGGCTTTTGGCCGTTGATTTTGAGAATCGGCACAGCATTCTGCTTCTGCTTCTCACCGACGGGCTTCGTCGTCGTCGTCGAATCCTCTTCCTCGTCGTCGGAGCGGTCGTCGGTCGCGTTGCTGTCGCGAACGAAGCGGTACGCAATGCGCAAAATGTAAAATAGCCAAAACAGATTAAGCGCCTGGAGAGAGGTGAGCAGGGCGGTGGTGATGTACTGAGAAATCCAGCACTTGTACTGCTGCGTCTCCCAGTTGAGCTCAAAGGGGCCGACGGTGCGAAACTCGGTAAACATGGAGACAATGATTTTCAGGTTGATGTAGTGGCGGAGGTAGATCCAGACGCAGACAAAGAGGAAAAAGTAGGGGCCAATGAGCGCGTGGTCGAGGTAGTTGAGGACTTTGGAGGTGGCGAGGAAAAAGTCGGAAATGTCGTGCGAGGTGTAGACGGCGATGCCAATGTAGGTAAAGTGGAAGCGGTAGCTGAGGCCAATGAGGGCGAGGCTGACGACGTGGTGGCCGACGAGCTCGTAGTAGTCCTTACGCGGCTTCTCGAGGCCGAGCAGTAGGACAATGGCCTGCTGAGCCCAGTACGCGGCCTGGAAGAGGTAGTAAAACTTGACGACGGCCTCGTGGGCGCGGTGCGGAAACGCCTCGTACATGCCGTGCGTGTTGTAGTACCACACGGGCGTCCTGCTCATGACGTACAAGCCCGCCGGGCCGAGCACGGCAAAGTAGAGCGCCGTGTAGGCCTGCTCCATGAAGCGCGCCTGCTTGGCGCGCGAGAGCCCCGTGCGGCGCGCCCACGGCCGCAGAATCTCCTGCATGACAAACTCGCGCGTAAACGACAGCACCACGATGTAAAACGAGACGAAGGCGATATCCCACTTGCCCTTGCCGTACAAGACGGGCTCCGAGGGATCCGTCTGCGGCAAGGGATAGGAGAGAAAGATGAAGCGGTGGAGAGGGTTCGCGGGAGTCGGGTGGACGGCGTAGCCGGCGAGGCATAGGACGAGGATGACGGCGGGCAGGACAAAGGTGCGCCGGACAATGAGCTGTCGGAAGCGGGAGAGGAGACCCCGCGCGCGGCGGCGCTTCGAGATGCGCTTACTATTGGCGGTGATGCTGGTGGGCGTGGTGGGCGTGACGGGGGAATCGACCTGTCGACGGAGGAGGAGGATATTGTTAGCGGGAGCCATGGTTTCGTGGTTGATGGATTGGATCGCAAAGAGGATATAGCAAGGAGAATCGCAGGGAAAGGAAGGAGGTAAAAAGGAACGAGGCGGGGGACTAAAAGGGACAAGGAATTGTATATACATGGTGACCAAAGGAATCGCCGGCTTTTAAACTGGCGCGACTCGAGGCAAAGGCCGGCGCACCCGTGTCGCCGGCGCGGATTTCGCCGCCCAGGCCAGAGCTCTTGCGGCGGCGCCGCGGGGCCGAGTCGTCACCGTCCATCATGGCAAAGGGGTCGAGGGAGGTGTTCAGGAGCGGAAAGGGTTCCTTGTCGCTTGCCGCGTCGCTCGTCGTCGCCATGATGTATGGTTTGCCTTCTTTTCTTCTCCTTTCCTCCTTTTCTTTCCCTCCTATCCTCAGTTTTGGGGTTTGGAGGGGGGGGGGGCGACGTTTGTGTTTGATTCGTTCGTTTTGTTTTGTTGATTTAAAGGAGGGGGTAGTGACGTTCGAGTCCCACTGGTAGCGTATGTTTTATTTGTCGCCCGAGATCGAATCGGTCTAAAAAAAAAATAAGCAACCCCCTCGTTCTTGTCATGCAGGGTGGGAAGCTAGAGAGAGGTGTTGTCGAGTTGAAGAAGAGACAAGAAAAAAAAATCCCCATCAAAGATTTGCCGGATCGGAAAATTGGGACGGGGCGGGCGCCGCCAAATGTTGAAAAAGAAAAAAAGATCGTTTGCGTTCGTAGAGCAAGACAACAGATAAAAACAACAATTATGAACGGTTGGGAAAAAAAAAGAAGAAGAAAAGAGAAAATAGCTCTGGGCGTGAGGGTGTACAGGTAAAGAGGAAAAGTCGATGGGAAAATAAAGACTTGGGTTGCCTCCAGCTGGGGGGGGGGGGTCTCTAAACCTCCGCGCGTCCTCGGTTGGTTGGTCGGTGGGGACCTCTTGTGTTGCCTGTGGCGGACGGCAGCAGCAGCGGAAAAGGAACGGGGGATTACGGGGGAAAGAGGAGAGAATTGTGAGAATCATGTATTTTTCCGATTCTTCGTCTCTGTTCTTTTATTCTACCTCACGGGCAAAGTGTTGGGAAGGGACGGGATCTTGGGTACGGAGTACTAGATGAGGCTGAGATGGAAGGGGGGAAGGATCTGACGATGCAGTCCGTTTTGCCTGCCAGAGCCGTCGGGCAACTTTTTCAAGCTGTCCCTACCTACTCAACATACGATACGATTTTCCACTCCAAAACAATGGAAGACTCTGCCACGAATTTTTAGAATTATAGACTTCAAATACCAGTATTCAATTCTGCTATTTGCCAAATCGTCGACAAAGACTCAGGAGAAGACAGGTACAGCCTAACAAATACTAGTGACCCCAGAACCCCCCGGTTTGATTAAAGACCCCACCGAAAAGTCTCAGGGCCCTGCCATTCTTGGCAACCTCGTCTCGTCGAATCAGAAGCCGTCATTTTGTTTTTGGCCAGGGGAACAGTGCACCGCACTGCAATTGATCGCTATGTATCCGTACGTATAACTACGTAAACTTGACTATATTAATTCAGTAGAATCACAGACGACGGAAAAAACTCAAAGTCGAGTGCCAGGAAAATCCAGGCAAGTATGCGTGTCTGTATATTGCATCGCCTACTGACTGTCAAGAAACACAGTCATCTTGTAAACCCTAAATGTGAACAAGAACCAAAATCAACGCCTTACCTGACGCTCCCAAATATGAATATGATCCATCGGATATATAATGTATGTATACAAGACGGCCTCGAAGCCGTCCATTCCCTTTCATGTACATGTTAATATTACCCAGCCCGAGACGCCGCCGATCCATTCGGCCGCTCCCGCGACCGCACAGACGACAAGTCATCCGTCGTCGACTGGCCCTCATCCTCGTCGTCCTCTTCCCCCTCAAACGACTCGTCGTCTTCTTCCTCATCATACGTCGCGGCGCGACGATTCACGCCCGGCCACAGAGGCGGCTGACTGACCGGCAGAGGAAGCGGCGCCGGTCTGCTGCGCCTGGCCGACATTCGCGCAAGACCATTCGCGTACCGCTCCGACGCCGTCGACGCCGCGGCATCAATCGTCGAGCTGCCACCATAGACGCTGCCGCCTTGTGACTGTTGCTGCGTAGGCTGTTGTTGTCGCCGTGCTTCGCTGCCTTCTTCATCCTCTTCGAGCACCTGCTGCAGCGCGGCACCCCGGCGAGGAGGCGCAGGTACCACCGTAACGGGCAGCTTGTCCGTGTCTGTCGACGGATGGAGTTTTTCTCGAAAGCGCTCGGCCTGTGATGCTGCAAAGTCCTCTAGACGCCCTCGAATATCCCATCTACCACCCCGACCGCCTCGGCTGCCTGCTGTAATGGTGTTGAAGTCCATGGTTCGGGTAATAGTGTGCTGGTCGTCAGCCGCATCTTGCACTTCTGGTCCATTGCCGTACGACACTGAGCGCAGAACCCTTGCGCGTGCCGGCGTCATCATCTCTGTTTCTCTGTTATATTCGCTTGCGGCGTTGCCAGCATCACCAGACGCATCTGGCGAGTATCTTGCACCTGCGCCTCGTCCATAGTGACTCCGCGCGTCGTGAGCATCCTCGCTATAGCTCTGAGGCCCGCTTGGGTGTCTCACCAAATCTGGTGCGTGCGTGAAATACGGCATAGGCGGCTCAGGTGTTCTCGATTCGCCCTGATATCGAACGGCATATACCGTGCTTGCCGCGCTGGGCGTGTCAGTTCTGCTGACGGGTGTGGCAGCCTGCGCCGCTCGTTGCGACCATATGGGCGGTCGCAGTATATCGCCCATGCTCCGCCCCTCGTCCTCGTGCGGTCTTGGCCCTCGGGCGTGCCCGTTCTGCAAGCCGCCTGGGCCAAGAGCATGCCCATTCGGTCGATGATGCATCTGTCCCCCTTCCAAGTCGATGCCGTTGCTTCCGCCGCTGCTACCGCTTCCTCCAAATTTGCCGTGCTTATGGCGCCAAGGATATTCGGCAGCATTGATTTCAAGCATATCGTCCCCGTCATACACTTCGCGGCCAAGCACGCCGTCTTTTTTCTCTTCTCTTTCAAGGGCCTCTATTCTTTCAACCCATTCCCACACGACAACACTGGCGGCGGCGGCGCCGACCCAGCGTACATAGTCACCCCAGGCGGTAAAATTTGGTTTCGAAATGTCGAGAATGAAGAAGACAATTGGAACTGTAATGGACAGGAGCGAGATGACGGCAACGAGGCAAATATTCTTCATCAATGGGTGATAGAATGCACAACGTCGCTTCAAGAATGCGTAGTACGAGACCCAAAAAAAGTAAAGGAGGCCGAGGGAGAGTTTAAAGACGTAGCTGATGGCAGGTACCGGGTGGGCGAGGCCCCTGTTGGAACGACTGTCGTCACCATTTGCGTTTGGGTCAATGTAGTTGCCATTTAGGATATCGTATTCACTGAAAGGAAAGCTGTTGAGTGAGGAAAAAACAATATCGAGACTGATGAGGGCAAAGGCTACCCATTTGATGACAACCTTTTCGCGATGTCGAGGGAAAAGGCGGATGAGGGTCTGGGCTTGTGCCAGCCAGAGAAAGGTGTCGGATATGATTCGGATAATTTTGAGCTCGAGACGGGACATTACGTCGCGCTGCAGCTCGCGGGCATTGGTGATGCCCCAGACGTACTGGTCCTTGACAATAGACATTGTGTCGGCCGTAGCAACGGTGAGTGATATGGCGACGGTCAGCGCGGCAATCTTTTGCAGCCAGGGACGGCCACCAATGCTGACGCCTCCCGAGGAGGAGCTGCCGGTGAAGCTCCCGCGGCTGCCGAGGTAGACGATGCCACCGTCAAAGGTTGAGCGGGTGGTGATAAAAAGGGCAATGACGAGCATCCACGAGACAATGGTGCAGGCGGAGAGGGCGTATATAATTGGCGAGGTGGAGAGGTAGAAGGGGTCGCCGAAGCTGGATATATGAACCGTCTTTGGGTTGTCGTTGCCATTGTGAAAGTTGAGCGTGGCCGAGGCGGTGGGGGTACCCGTGGTCGCGGTGACGACAATGTCTGATACCGTAATATTGGCGTCGTCGGTCGTGGAGGGATTCGTGGCGGTGACAGCCTGGTCGGACACAGCGGGCGAGGTGACGGACGTGCCGGTGGTGGTAGCTCCTTGCTTCGATTCGGCGCTGCTGCTGCTGCTGCTGCCGCTGCTGTCATCATCGTTGTCGGCGCGCGGCAGCAGAGATGCGCAAGGAAACTGCTGCACAAGTGGCTCGGCGAGGGTGATGGGCAAGCCGACGTCGGGTAGGGTGATGACACCGAGGGCTGGGTAGAGGGTCGAGGTGCAGAGGGAAGCGGCCGCCGTCAGCGTCGCCGTGGCGGCGACGTCGACGGACACCATTCTCCTTGCGATACCTGCGAGACCCTTTTCGGCGCGTGGGCAGTAGAGTTGCCTCTTATGCCAGACTGGCTGCCGAGCGCGCCCGCTCGGCGTAGGGAAAAAAAAAGGGCGCCGCGAGATGCGTGTATCGCGGATGACGGAAACAGACCGAGACCAAAAAGAAAAAAAAAATTAAGAAAAAAAGAAAAAAGAAAAAGAAGGTCGTTGCTAGCGAATTAAGGCCATGGAATCCAGTGTGTGCCCTGACCCGTGGGTTGACGTGATACGGCGGGACATGCAGTTGGTCAATTTGTTGAACGTTGTTGGACAACCGCAGGCGGGAAAATGGATTGGAAGGGACCGTTGCAGGTGGGCGGCTGGCTGGCTGACGTGGGAGGCTTACGAGAGGGAGCTAGAAGGTGAAATGTGAGCGATTTCGGCATGCCAACAAGTCGCAAAACAGAAAATGAGGGCAAAAAGGGGGATGGGAGAGGAGAAGGAAGAGGAGGAGGAGAAATGCGGGGTGCGCAAGAGGCAAGTTGTACAGAGATGGGTGTTGCGTCGAAGAGGAAGAGAAGAGCCGTTGTGGCATGCAATACGAACATTGGTGGCACGACTCAAGATGGCAGGCAGGCAGGCAGGCAGGTGGCAGGGCAAAATGGAAAACGCAAAGGGGGGGGGCACCTGGAAAAGAGGCAAATTCCGTCGCAAACGCCTAGGCCAGGTGGACCATCAAAAGGACCTTTTTAGTGCTCATCTACGGATAGCTTGCCACGCCTTCTGTGTGTAACTTGTTGTGTATTGCCGATATCGTTGATTATGACGTTGATGAATTATAGTTGTTCAATGAGAAATTTTAACAATTTCCCATTCATGCCCTTCTTCTCCGCACTGCCTGCATGTGCTGACGCGGGGTTGCCCCAGGTGCATGCAACTTGCCATGACAATGCCCGTTTTACACGCGTCACAAAACCAGGTCGAAATGGGAAAATAAAAAAAGAGTACATAGGTTCCAAGAAATTAAACCTTTTTTTTATAAAAAAAAAATCACCAGGTCTTTTGATGATCGATCCCCCAAGCCCCCTCACGTTCAACGGAGCTATTGCCTGCATGTCTCTAGTCATATGTCCTCGTGCAGCTTTCTAATAATAAGCCATGCAGATAGATACATTGACCGCCATAGGGATCCCCCAGACCTAAAATGGCGCCATCCTTCTTCACCGATGCATCAAGAATTAAAAGCCCAAATACAGAACTTTGCACTTGAAAAAAAAATCCTCTCACCATTCAGACAGCCTCGTCATCTTTCCACGCCCCCCAAGATAATCCCGCCCGCAGCTTTGCTTTCTCGGCGCCCGCGTCAGCCCGTGTATTTCAAGGACCGAACCTAACTATCTATCTACCTACCACGGCTGCCACGGTACCACCGAGCCTCAGCTGAATGGCGTCAACTGTTCCCTCTCCTGTCTTCTGCCAGTCTTCCATTTCTCTTGGCATTGCCGCACCGCCCTACCCCAAAAGCAACAAGTAATTAACTACGTACGCCCTTTCCCCCCTCATCATTCCCTCGCCCACGTTTTCTGCATCACGTTACCCAATCTATATCCATCCATCCATCCATCCATTAAAACCAATCATGACCCCGCGCCGCCCGCGCCACCCGGACCCTTTGCCCGCTAGCGATAAGCTTATTTTTCTCTACTCCTCGTCTTCGCTTACCACTGTGGCTGTCCGAACACACCAAACTATAAACTTTATCACCCTTGTATATAGATACCAATTGTAGACGGATCAGTCAAATGCGTTGAAAAGATAAATCGATTGACAGTCTCCAGGGGTATCTCCCTTTTTCTACCTGACCGAAGTCGCCCCGAGTAAATATAAATAGTATCTTTGGAAAAGAAGGAAGCATCAAACAGACCCAGACCCCATTGACTCAGCCCTTTCCATAAAAAAGAAACAGAAAGAATTAATCGGGAAATATGATATAAGGAAGCAACGAAAGTCCAGCTTCTCTTTTGAAAAATATCATTTCCCTTCCCAGAAACGCCGCCAATATGCAACCCACAAAGGAAATTCAATAGCAACCAAGACGGACGGCACACCCCATCTCCCATCAGTAGTCATCAGACTCCTCTTTCACGCCCCGATACTTCATCTCCAGTACCCATTTGCCGTCAAAGTCGATGCCCTTGCGCACCTTGGTCCCGGCTTTGCGCCAGACAGTGTGTCCCAGGCCCATGTCCACGATGAAGAGTCGCCACTCCTCGTCCTGAGCTACTCCCCCGCTCGCTGCCAACGGATCGTCTTCGTCCGGCGGCGTCACCGCCTCTACGAGCCCTCGCTTCGGTGCCCCAACTGCGACCACGTATCGCGGCTTGACAAAGAGCTGCGACCCATCAATGATGGCGACTTTGCCCGTGCTAGGATCGATGCCTGACGGCACATCGACGGATAGCACAAAAGCCTCATTGCGGTTAGCCCACTCCATCAGCTCATACACTGTCGCTTGATCGCCGATTCGCAATTCCTCAAAAGACATGGTCAGCCCAAGAAGAGCATCGATGATCAGAGATACCGACACCCGTCCCGCTCCTGTGCCGCTTGCTACTGCCGCCGCCCCACCACCCGGCGTCGACTTGCGCAGCTGCTCAAAAAAATCAGTCTTTTTGAGTACCTTGCCGCCAAAGCTGCGATACAACTGAACCTGCCGTCGAAGGTCCTCGAGCAGGTCGCGCTCTCGCTCAATGCCTGCCAGGCAAACCATAACGTCGTAGCCCTTGTTGCGCAAGTGACGACCAGCTACCAGCGCACGGATGCTTGACTTGTTGTTACCCGCCAAAATTACAATTGTCGGATTACTTGGCAGTGGCCCGTCGCCAGCCTGTGACAATGATGCTCCGGCCATTTCGAAGCGGACCTTGAGGGCCGGATCCGACAGCGCCTTGACCGCAACCTCGGCGATGCCGCGGCCCGCATTCTCAGCCATCAAACTCTCGGGGAGTCCAACTTCGTTGGCCGCAATGTTTTCAAGGTTGAGCATCTGCAGTGTTGAGATGGCCTCCACCCGGCGATTGGACGGAACCAGGTAGAGACCCGGCTGTTGTACCTTTGGCGGTTGCACCTCTGCGCTACGGTAACCAGATCGGGGGCTGGATCGACGCGAAGGAAGTGATTGTCGTACGCTCGAGTTGACTCGCGTGAGTGGGTATCCGCCCATGGCAGCGCTCGCTTTACGCGACTGCGAGCGGCGACTCGGCCCTGTCTTGGCGTCTGCTCTTCTCGTCGATTGCCCGCTCTTTTGTTCATGGCCGCTCATTCCCTCATTGTCGTGGACACCTCCGACTTCAGCCTCGCTGTTCCAGTAATCGGCATTGTGTGTGCTTGACGGCAAGTCGAGGACATTTTCTGTGTAGTGCAGATTCTTGCCCCCTGCTGTACCGGGCTTTGCTTTTCGGTTGTGAGATACAAGTCGATCAGCTTCGTCAACAGTGTCATCTTTGCGCATCTGATCGAATATTGTGCGCTTGTCAAATTTGGCGAGGTTGTTCTGAAAGTCAAACTCGGGCATCTCTTCGGTAACGTCTTCGGAAGCCCAGCCGTTGTCGGGCAAGTCTTTGGGGGGCTTGCCGTTCTTCTTGAGAGCTTTGAAAGGCTGAAAGGATGAGGTGCTCTGCAGTATCGGCGTCTGTCGCCAGCCTTTGCCGTGACTACCGGGAATGACTGTGACGCCATCATCATCCTGGTCGGGTTGTTTTGCTTGTCGAGAATTGCGGTTTCGATTCTTGCGCTTGAATGGTGTCACCTCGGGGGTTGTCGGTGCATTCTCGGCATCTGAGACTTTGGAAACCTTGATGCTCTTGAAGAGGCGACCAAGGTCTCCCTTTGGCTGATCATTTGATGCAATAACTGGGGACGGCATACTCGGGTCAAGAGAATGCGCCGGTGCCTTGACAGGCGCACCCGCGGGAGGAAGCCCGGAGTCTGGCCGTCGCCCCATGCTGAGTATAGCCGGGTCAACAAAGTCTGTCTTTGTCGGCGAAGTCGTCTGCGTGGCGTATCCCGGCGGCTGAGCTGGTGTAGGGGCGTCGGATACAGGCGGGGAAGGTTGCTGTTTCTGCTGATCTTTGGGTAGCTCCGAGAGGTCGGCAATGTTGAGCGCATTGATGCGCGTCTGCGGGAGATGCTCTTGCGTCGCAACTATAAGGACTGGGTAGAGAAGTTAGTGCAAAATAGCGGCATTGAACAGAGAATCGAGAGACTCTACCGTTAGTGAGACTGAGGCTGCTGCCAGCTTCTACGTCTCGGACGGTGCCGATCAGTTGATATCCTGGGGGTTCGCGCAGGATCACCCGCATCTGGAGACCAATAAATTGGCTCGCCATCTTGAATGACTGGTGGTGTTGTTGGTCTGTCAATCGTCTGAGCTATGATTCGTCCTGTGGTTGCTAGTGACAGCATAGGTCGATGTCGCCAGACAGGGGAAGGAAGCTGCAATCACAAGAAGCCACTGTGCCTAGTCGAGAGTCTCCTGCATCAAAGAGGAAACTGCTCTATTGAGCTTGTCGGGGTAAGTGGGTTCGGTCGTGGTTCTGTCGAGTCGGTCGAAAACTTAAAACGCTACGGGTTGCTGAGTTAGCCCCTCGTTTGCGGATCGTCTTGCCGGTTTTAGTTGTCTCGATTTGCGCGCGCGTCGTCGGTAAATCAGCAGCAAATAACGGGGGTGGCCGTCAGGACAGGAGAAAGATAAAGTTGCCAAGTAACCGAATACCTGCTCCTTCTTCTAATCTCCTTTTTCTTGTAAAGTGAACTGGTCCCGATGCTCTGGCTTTGTTGTCCGTTGCTAAGCCAGAGAGGGCAAGAAAAAAAAAACAAGAGGTCTCGTGGCCAGGTTGCCGGAAGCTGCGCCAAGGGGCAGGCGGCAGTGGAGGCTAGGCCGACCTGGGCGGGCAATGCAGAAGAAACAGACGAAAATGGCAGCAGCAATCTCGTCTGGTTTTAGTGCGCTGCAAATATCCGGCTCTCAAAGGGGAGGGAGAATCGTGGGGGTTGAAGAGTGAAGGAGGGGAGAAGGAAGGAACGTCGGCCACGAATCTGAAAGAAATAATGCTCGTTTAGCTCCCCGCCACGAATAGGTACTTCAAGTCCCCTCTGGCGCCTGCGCCACTGGGGGAGGAGCCCTTTTGGAGGGGATCCTCTGATACCTATTATTACCTACCTACACACTGAGATGGCGCGTGGTATCAAGACGACAATAAAAGAGGTATGGGTTGCTTTGAAGTAGCCAAGGGGGGGTGTACACTGTAGGTCCTCGTAATTGCCTGCCCGAAAACTATTATACACTCTTCTTCTGTCACTTCTGCTGAACGTTCCACGTCTGCCTGTGCCAGCCTGCGACGTGCAGCCACAGACCCGCTCGCCGACAGAGTCATGGTTCGGTGTGCCACAGACGCGCCGGACCCACCCTACCAAAGCCATCAACAGATGACAAGAGTTGGCGACAGTAGATTGGATGAATAAATTCTCAAACACCAAGAATAGTCTATGACAGCCATCACGTCGATCGCATTGTACATGGCATGTGTAGTATATGGCTCTATAACCTTTCCATAATATCTACATGTTCCTCAGTAGCCTCTTCTACCGGCTACAAAGTCTAATATAGAACTCGGTTTCCGCGAGCCCGCTTCCGCCGCCGAATACAGCTTGTTATAAAACTCCACCACCTTGGGATGTGCCATCACTTTATGCTTGTCGAAACCAATCACACGAAGGCCATCCTGGCTCGTTGCTCGAGAAAGTGCCACGTACGCCTGGCCCTTTTCGAATACTTTGCCCAAGTTCACCGTCACTCGTTCCAATGTTTGACCCTGTGCTTTATGAATGGACAGTGCCCAAGCCAGAATCAACGGCAACTGTGTTCTCTTGGCTTGTACATCACCATTCGGCAGCTCAACTTTCCACTCTTCCGGCTGGCAGAGAATCACTCGCGGCACTCCAGACGCTGAAATGAACTGCACCACAGGATATTGCTTCTTGGAATTCGATATCAACTCAGAGTCGCGACTGAAACTGCTCAGCTTCTTTCGTGCCTTGTTCATCGCCTCGTCCATTGTTGGGTCATCTGGAATACCTCCACCCATCTCAAACGTTCGCTCATCTGAGAACCCAATGACGCGGCCCAGAGACCCATTCACCAGTGATGCGTCCAGGTTTTTGATGAGCATCACTTGCGCATTCAGTTTTAGGTCAATTGACTTGGGAGCCATCATATTGGCAAGTAGCCTTTCTTTGAGTGCCGGCTCTCCTGTATCCGCAGCTTCGAACCTGTGAATCTGTCCTGGCAAGTCTCGTAGTCGCTTCTCGTTGGACCCTTCCACCTGCGCACGAAGAGGAAAAAGCTCCGCGAGATCGACACCATCATCGAACTTGAGTGGCCGCTCAAGTGCTTTGAAAGCTCGTACCGTGTCGTCCGTAATCTTGCCCAGTCGCATTTCGTTCAGCATACGGGCAAACTCCGGATCACGTTGTCGAAAGACTTGATTCAGCCCAATAGTGTGATCTATCGATGTAGTCCAGGTTGCCGCGTCAAAGGCAAATTTGGACTCTCTTTTTGAGTCGTCAGGTACAGGTGGAAGCTGAAAAAAGTCTCCGGTAATCACCAGCTGGATTCCTCCCCACGGGCGCCCATTGTTGCGTATGGTGCGCCCAATTTGAGATAGCTTGTCGAACAAGTCCCCATCAACCATGGAGATTTCGTCAATGATCAGAACCTTGGTCTTCAGCCACCGATTCTTGGCTTTTGGATTTCTTCGCACTTTTTTTATCAGAACACTGGCATCTTCTTTACCCAATCCGATGCCCGAGAAGCTGTGCAGCGTGATGCCGCCAATGTTGCACGCAGCGAGGCCTGTTGACGCCGTCACTGCCACGCGCTCAGATTCCCGTGCATACTTGGATTTGAGTTCGCTTATTATAGCTCTCATAAGCACCGATTTACCTGTACCAGCAGGTCCGGTAAAAAAGACACTCTGCCCTTGCTCAACGACAAGGTCCAACACATGTCGCTGCTCGCTGCTCAGCGCGATGGTTTCTGAACGTTGAGCAGGCGCCGACTGATCAAACGGGGGCAGTTGCCCCATAGCTTCAAGTTCAGCTGCAATTGCAGACATTTCTTGTTTACTGCTCCTCTGATTCTTGAGCTGCTTCTTCTGTTCCTTGATAGCGCTGGCAGACGGGTCCCACAGGCCACTAGCATGTAGCTTGTTTGCCGGAGTCTCCGATTTTATGTCCAAAGACCCTTCTTCTGAGGCTTGATCACGTCGCCAATTGACAGGTAGCGCCCTCTTCTTCGCCTTCTTGGGTGCTGGCGTTTCGAAACAATCATCATCAGTCCCTGGTGAATCTCGTTTTGAAGACTCATTGCTCCCCGTCGACAGATTTGACCCGTTCCGATGCTGTTGTGGTGGTAGAAAATGTGATGCCGGTGATGATGACCAAGGGATCTGTTCTGAGGATTGTGGAGGTATATTTTCTTTCGGGGCTGAAAACTTGGAAATATATGTGACTTTTGACGGCGATACGGCCGACGGTACTTTGAAGTCGAGGTCGAGATCGGCATCGTCACTGAAATCGTCTTCGGCGAAGAAAACTTCTGCTTGCCGCACTTTGGTGGGACCGTCCCCCGTCAAGTCAATGACTTCCTCCTTGAAGGAGGAAGAGGAGTTGCGGTAGAGAGAAGCTAGTGATCCCCTGCCGGCTCCGTTGCCAATTGCTACGCCGTTGTCTTTGGCTGCCTTATGGTCTGATTGCTGACATTGCGGGCGACTGAACCGCAATGTCGAGGGCGATGAATCTAAAAATCGCGGAGGCCCACGCCGCTTGAGCTGATCGCGAATGTCCGGAGGAGGTTGACTCGGGCTGCTGGATGGGAAGAGTTGTTTGGCGAGCTCGCCGCCTTTGGAGGTGCGTTGCGAGGGCGGAGGCTGGCTAGCCTCGTAACTCTTGTTGGCTTTGGCGAGCATCGAGTCTGATGGTGCAGCGTTTGAAGCAGTCCCGGACAGATGTCGTTGAGTTGCGCGACCATGCGGACATGAGGGAGTAGCGGCGATATGGCGGACAGAAAGACAACGGAGCGTAGGCAAGGACCTGGAAAGCAAGTTGAGGACCCCCCGATTCATACGAAAAGAAAAAGACAACTTGGAGAAGGAACGTGGGACAGATACAATGGAGGGGGGACGATCGATGCGTAAAGTTCAGCACGCGTCGAGTGGCATCGCGATGGCGCGTGAAAGCGGCTTAGCTAATCAGGCAATCAGGGTGCAACTTACCACAAGCCAAAATGAACATGAAAAAGGAAATTGACCCAGAAAGATTTGACCTCTATCATAAACTATTAATTTCTCAATCAATTTCTAGATCTTTGATCCAGTCAAGCAAGAGTGCTCACAGTAGAGGGAGCGTAGAATGCGTTTGTCTATCAACCGAAAAGGAAATCGCTTCCTTGCTGTATAATACCTAGATACTAGGATACAGCCCAGGCCCAGTGCTGTTATCTTTCTTTGTTTCTCTTCCTGGACATATTTCGTTCGTCGATTTTACTTTTTCCGTACATTGTTGCTTCTCGCACCTAGATTGTCTGACCAGATTGCCCTTCCAAAGAAATTTATGAGGAACCACGCCGCTTTGGGATTCAATGCGATCGCGTCAGTTCAAGCTAAGGGGGGACGTTGACTTTGGGGCTGAGCAGGGCACCGAAATTATTACTACCTACCTATTTTTTAGGTACCTTACAGTGTGTACGTCGCCTGGAAGAGAAGCCGTGCTGTTTAATTGGCCCGTCAACCGGCTGAGCGGGATCGGCGTACGCCGTGCGTCGCCCGCCGATAAGTTTGAACAAATTTACGAAACAGTTTCCCTTTTGGGCAATCGTTTCAACGGCTCGCGTGCGACAACTGCGCAACTCATAAGGCTGTGTCAGGGAATCATGGGCTCGCGCTGATTCGATAATACCTAGTTTACGCTTTATTTCTCATTTCTTACTTTTTCAAGGTGTAAATCTTGTAGTCATCTGTGCCGCTTTGCCGGTTGGCGAAAAGAATGGGAGGCCGCAATGCTGTCTATATATACAATCGGACTGGGCCTTTACAGCACAAAACACTAGACACAACCTCTTCAGTCATTCCCTCCCTATTCACGGCTATCATACATATCTCGTTTACATTTGGTTCTTCATCGTCAACCACTGTTGACCAAAACAATGCACCGTCCCTTTGACACGTACGATGGCCTAGCCGTCGCCCAGATCCTCCTCTACACACCCTTTCTCGGCGGCGCCATCATGCTCTGCCTCCGCCACGGTTTCGCCAAGTCGGCCGGCTGGCGCTACCTCGCCATCCTCGCCCTCGTCCGGCTCATCGGCAGCGCCCTCCGCCTCGCCAGCCTCTCCTCCCCCACCAACCAGAGTCTCTACATTGGCTGGCTCGTCCTCGGCGGTCTCGGGCTCGGGCCGCTCATCCTCACGCTGCTCGGTCTGCTCTCGCGAACCTTTGCGTCGATGCGCCGCAATGGCCACGACATTGTCCCGCCGCTCGCGCACCGCGCCATCCAGACGCTCATGCTCGTCGCCGTCATCCTGCTGCTCGTCGGCGGCTTCAGCGGCTCCACCTTGACCGTGTCAGGCGGCGGCGGCGCGCCGCAGATTACTTACGCCGCGACGAGCCGCGCGGGCAGCGGCATCGTGATTGCCGTGTACGTGCTGCTGTGTGCGGAGACGCTGCTTGCATTCGTCAACCAGGGCTACGTCGCGCAGGGCGAGCACCGCATCGTGCTGGCGGTGGTGGTGTGTCTGCCGTTTGTGCTCGTGAGGCTGGTGTACAGCGCGATATTGGTGTTTGGGCACGTGCGCTCGACGGCGTGGCTGATGCTGGGCATGGAAGTGGTCGTGGAAGTGGTCGTGGTGCTCGTCTGCGAGGTGGTGGGCTTTACGCTGGCAAAGGTGCCCGAGGAGGTCAAGGCAGAGGACGCAGAGGCGAGGCCGATGCCCGGCGGTCTGTAGCGTGCCGCCGCAGGACGGGTATTCAGATGCCGTGATATGCTGCCGAGAGAGGTCCCGCGCAAGACGCGCCGTGAGCGAAAAACCTGAGCGTTGACAGCATCGCTGGCTTGGATAAAGGGGGAACAAGATTAGGCAGGAACAGACACCATCGCCACCCACGCTTTCCAAAGTAACTCGCAATATATTCACATGCCGTATATACATTGCTGTACAATCCTTTGTGCGCCTTAAAGCCTTGGTATCCAGGAAAAAATCAACTTGGTATATATAACCGACACGAAACCCACCGATGTCGCCCAGCATCTCTACATGACGGTACAGCACGCCTTTTCGAGCTTGCGCATGATACGAGGGAGGACCTTTTCCACCATGGCAGCAATGTCGTCCTGCTGCTGGTTCTGCCCCTGGCCACCGTGCTGTTGTCCACCGTGCTGTTGCTGACCACCATGCTGTTGCTGGCCACCATGCTGTTGCTGCCCCCCGTGCTGCCCCCCGTGCTGCTGCTGGTGCTGCCCTCCATGAGGCTTGCCTCCACCTCCGTGCTGCGGCGGCAGCGGCTCGCCGCCCTGCAAGTTAATGTATATCCTCCCCGCATTCTCCTCGGTGCGGCACTGCAAGCCCATTTCTCGGCAGAGCTCCTCCACTTTGGGCTTGATCTTTTGCACGTGGCCGGCCGAGTGGTTGCCCTTGCCGACAATGGCGTGAAGGTGCGTCTGGCCGCGGGCGCGGTCTGCGCGGATGCGCTCTTCGAGGATGCGCTCCGCCTCCTCGACAAACTGGCCGTGCAGGTCAATGGCGTCGGCGTCGACGCGGCCGGGGGCATTGTTGGCGCGAAAGATGTAGTCCGAGGCCTGCCGGTTGTAGTCGTCCATGCGCGCGTCGTGCGACTTGCCCTCGTTGGAGAGCTCCTTGGCGCGGGCGCCGTCGCCGGCGCTGTAGGCCTGGCGAGACTGGCCGAAAGAAAAGGTTTCAGTTTGATGCAAAACAAGAGCAAGGGGGGGGGTGGTTTGGTGTATCCATACCTTGTCGAAGCAGGCGTTGCGCTTCTCGGCTTCGGAGCGCGCGAGGTCGCGCAAGCGGTCATACTCGCGCTCCGTATCGTCGCCATGATCGTCGGCGTTAAAGGCTGGGAAGGGTGACGAGGTTAGCCGGGAGGAAGCGCGCCAAAACAAAGAAATCAAGGTGCGCGCGATGGAGGCGTACCACGGCCGCCCAGTCGGGTCAAGGGAATGGACATGGTTTCTGGGGATAAACCGAAAAAAGATCAAACGAATGTGAAGAATGGCGGCAACCGGGCCGGGATATCGCTGTAATGGGCGGCTGTAGGCGGGTTGGTGGAATGGTATCGTGGTCAGAAGCGGCGCAAAGGGGCGCATCGAGACTCTGCCAGATTTCCCATCCTTTTTTGGGGGGGGCCACATGTATTAGGAGGCTAGGAGGTATTGCGGCCTCCCGCCCGATGCAAACACGGCTTCATCAACCACCCACGCAAACCAAAGACTAGAAAATGGTAATGAAGTGAGTCTGACTGAATTTATTTCCTCGTCTGAAGATGTGAAAATGTAGCAACTTTGAAGACTTTGAGCCCTGGTTCATCATGCGGCTGGCTCTATTGTTCTACCGCTCTGATGTACCACGCTAAAACAAAAATGCTTGGCGAGCGATAAAGCCTACCGATCTACTCCGTAATTACAGTAGCCGCCTCCCAATGCTGGCTGCTGCTCATCACGTCAACAAGTAGCAAAGCGACTAATCATGCCACCTTCATCGTTTTTCTCAGGTACGGTTATTCAGGTGAACAAACCACTCTCACGAGTCATCCCCGCCTCGCCAAAAGTTTGCCCTCCCTGTTTCCTCCGTGCGCTTCCCTCAAATGGTCCAGGTGTGGCGTGCCCATCGTGTCTCAGATTGTCATGGCGCTGCGCTTTTTCCCACAACTTGTGTGCGTGACTCCTCACCAAACTCACCACTCACCACAGGGTTCTGGTTCAATGACTGAGATTTTCCAACCTCTAAAGACATTGCAATCATATCTTCAAGTGGCGAAAACAACAAAAAACAAGGACCTGATGGCAAATCATTTGACTTGTTTTAGTCTAGAATTCCTCCCTCTTTGCGACGCCGCCCTCGTCGAGTGAGACAATCGCATACCAAACTTTTTTCCCCAAAAACGCGCGACCGCCCTGACCTTGACGCTCGAAAGCGCACGGTCTCACCACCCTTTTTCATTTCTTTTTCGAGGAATAAACCGTTTATCAATTTTATCCAAGCAGGTTGATATTACTCGTAGGCTTGCACCAACCTCTTCATTCCTATTCTTCCTCAGTTTCTCTCCTTTTCATTACTTGCAACTCGTAACCCGACTTACACGGCGTCCTTCTTTAACTATATACACTCTTTATACACGACCACCACCACCCGATAACGGCAGACACATACACACACACACACACATACACACATACCGTTTAAATACGCACAATATATAAAAAAAAAAATCAAAATGCGGAATCGATTCTTCACCAAGCAAGAGGCTCGCTACATTGCCCTCAAGGATCTCACCGGCGAGGGCAAATACCGTCGCGACGATGACCGCGCCGTTTCTCTCGGCTCCGTCACCGACGACTCGCTCATCTCGTACACGCCCAGCTTCAAGAAGCGCATGTCCGACGTTTTTGCCCGCCGTCGCCGTCGTCGGCTGTCCCTCACTGCCTCGTTCTCTGCCGGCTCCGCCACTCCTACAACTCCCACCACCACCACCACCACCCCCACAACCCAGTGGAAGCGCGCCTCTCTCAGCCGCGCCATGAGCGCCCTGAATCTGCACCGTCGCGAGAGCCGCCGCGAGAGACGAGTCGATGAAGACGTCGAGAGCGACAGCAGCGATGACGAGGATGATCCGGCCGAGACGAGGGACGACTTTGTCAAGAAGCGATTGAGCTTGATGCAGAGCTGGATGACCACGCCAGCTCCCAGTTTCGGTACCTCCTTTACCTCACGCCATTCTACCCTCTTTGTCCCGGTTTCGATCTAAACTTCATATGGCGCTTTTCCTTGCTAGTCGTCATTTCATTTTGTTCAAATTTCTCTCGTCTTCATCCGCGACAACGTCTGTGACGTATCGTTTCCTTTGTCTTGGGCTTGGCTTTTGGGGCATTTTACTGCTGGCGTTGAGTGTACTCGTCCATTTCACGCTTCGAATGAATAATACAATTCTATAATCATGAATTGAGTTTGATACCAACCATTGCCAAGTTGCGTAAACTTTTCACCATTACAGCGAACAAAGATTTGCCTCTTGAGCTGGATTGCCGAGGACTTTTTTCCAATTCCGACGAAAAAAACCTTCGATGAACAGCACTATCGGATCTTTCATATTCAGCAGGGTCGCCACATGGTAATACGTGGACCGGCTGCGTGGGTTCTTGGTTCCTTTAAACTCATTAACCTTTGGTGGGGAATTTACCATGTACCCTGCTTTTACTGCCAGAGTATTATAGATGCAGGGTTAGGGGCTGCTCTTCAGCGGCGAACTCAAGCTGCATCTGCTTGTTAAGGCTGCAACTCGCAGATATTGTTGAGCCGTGGCCCGTCGTTGGGGCGGTCACGTACGACAATTCGCTGGCTGAATGAAGCATGAGTCTGCACTTGTGCATGCATCTGTATCCGCCCAGTAATGCAAGCACTCCTAGGCCGCCTAGATGCTGCCATTCGACAGTGAAATCTGCCATCTGCGACTCCTCGACCTAGTTAGGTTTGTGCTACTTGTCTGAATACGAAAGTTTCTCCTCGGCTTTATTTAGACCTCGTACGAGCAATTCCCCGCAGAGTAGCATGTACCATCAATAAGAGAGAGCGCACAGGCAGAGACGAGCTCTTGATAACTTCGCTCCAAAGCGTCGGCACAGTGCTGTACTGCGTGCGTACGGAGCCGTACAATTTTGCACCTGCGTCTCCGAACAATGCTCTTCTACGGACTATGCTTGGTCAAATGCGCGCTTTTGTGAGCCGTCAGGACCTAAATAACTAGGCCAAAATTTAAAGAAAAGTAATTGAAATCCTGGCTCCGCTGCTCCATGTCGCGTTCTTCGGCAAATGTTCTAGAAACCCCTGACGCCCCCTGGTGCTCCATCTTTCCTGATAAAAAGATGACACTGGGGCCTGCAAGGGACTGATTGCCTTGCAGATGATCCATGGCTACATGAGCCGCTGACAAACTGCCCGCAATACTGACTCGTTGCGCGAAACAAATATGCAGACGTCAGGGGCTGTTTCTGCCAGTTCATGCTCACACTCCATAACTAGGCTCAAGCGCCAATTGCCATTTTGCTAAACCAGCCAGACACTTCGTACAACTTCATCCAGTACTAAGGTACCTAGTAGTAGCTTCACCGCTGTGGCGCTGGGCCGACAATGTGTTATTACTAGCGGCGCCACCAGGTAATCTCGCTCCAACAGTCCACTGAAGCTGTGGAACAGTGCAAGGAGCCCGGTAACCACCCATGGCCACATGCAAGTAAGAATGAAATGCGTATCATCGTGGCGTTTCAAATGCCTCGTGTTGGCCTTCTGCTAACAATCAAGTAAATAGAAAGCACGCTATAATAAATCAGTGTCGCCACATCTTTAGCAGTTGCAAAACCAATGTGGGCGCAGAGCCCGCCTGTCTCGTCTTGCGCCGCAGATCTGGCTTTAAAAGGGCTGCAGCCAATAGCTGAGGCAAAAGAATATCCACAGCTGCGAATTATTCCAAGGTTCAGGCTAATAGATATTAAAGCCGTGGGGGCTGCATATTAGTCCAGAAAAATCTGACCGCAGCGGAGATTTCAGTCTGCTTCAGCGGCACGCTCAAATCTCAGCTTCATGTCCGCGCGACAGTGTGGCCATCATAAGTTTCTGTCAGATCAGGATGCAGGAGAAATGTGATGATGCAAGGGATCATGCGCGTCTCGAAACATGTACCAGTAAAAACCCGGGCTCTGGCTTCCGCCTTGCGTACCAGTAGATCTCGTACTAGTTCAACGGGATAGGTGAGACATGCTTAATTCGCGAGCAACGTGGCCGATAAATACCTGCGTATGGACAAAACGCTGTTGGTGCGAGTTCAATGCAATACTTGGTACGAAAAGCCGAAGCGAGCTGCACTTGGCGCGCGCATGCTATGCGGTTTTCGAATCACTGGCGGTTCCAATTCCGGATTCTTCGTAATATTGACTGCAGGAAGCAAGGCCCCCAAATGCAAGGTAGATCCGGGCTCCAGTCCACGGCAGTGCCGATAGGCTACAAAAAGCAAGCACCAGCTCATCCAAACGCTTATGAGCCGTCTGTTCGTGATGGCGGAAATGCAGCGAGAGTTGACCATCATGTGTAAAGTGGCTGACACTTCCACGAGGCTCTTCGTAACTACTGAATGAATGCGTAGCAATATCTCTGCCAAGTTTCGCGGAGATTTGCCGATGACCAAGAGAAGACTGCTTTCATCAGCTGATCGAGATCAAGGCGACGCGGGTAGACGATAAAAGAACTAAAATCTTAGTTGAGTGGCTGGAATCGCAGACGGTAAGGCAACGGCCTAGACATCCCATCCCGTGAATAGTTCCAAAGCTTTTACCTGAACATCAGAGCCTGTGCCCCCGCAACTCCAGCCATTTGTCACAAGCACTAGCACTTGGCAATGGGCCGAAGCCAAAGGCACAGGGCCCCAAGCTAGCCAGGACGAGGGACACGATGCGACCTGCCAACGGGGAGCAGCTCCACCACGGGCCTCTCCCAGAGTGTCTAGGTGTGCTCCGTACGGGATGACAATTTGCAACGAGATGAGCAGTGTTTGCTCAGTCAGCTCGCGTGAATAGGAGATATCAGTAGCGCTGGGCTGAGCTGTGCTTATCTAAAGCATGATAGAAGGCGGCAAAGCCGTTTTATGTGGTTTACGATACATTGGAGCGTCGACCACCAGCGGAGTGCGTCAGACCAAGTCTGTGACATGCGTCGATCGTTGAACAGAGGGCTGAGAATGACGGCCAAACGGAGCAAACTTGACGACGTTGCAGTTGCGCGGTCGTTGATGACTGATAATGTCCCTGGTAGGAGCAAACGCCAGCTCGCGTACTCGTATCAAGAAGCATCGAAAATGGCCTAGAAGAAAATGACTGAATTGCAAAAGAATGTTGGATAGCGTGTAAAAGACTTTCCAATTGTTTGACCTGGCTTTCCGTTATGTCCATCAAGGACACGCGCAGGCAAGCGAGTGCCTTGCTCACGATACGAGGGGCTAGTTAGGGGAAGCAGCAAGGAGTTCCCGACTAGATGTGGCCGTCGTCTCAGGTTTCCAGGTACCAGTCCAGGCACCGGCCAGCAATACCAATACAGCGCATAAGACCGAGTGTGTGGATTCCACCGCGGACACTGTGTACACGGTACCTGTCTGGTGGGCACGGGCGATATTAGACGCCACAGCGAATTATATCTAGATACAAGGAGTTGAGGCATATGATCTAACCCCTGTCTTTTGCGAGATGGCGTGGCGGCAAGTACCCGGATGCGCAAGTGTACAGTAAGGCCTCGAGCGGGTTGCACTGTCTACCTACCTAGAAAAATGGGTCCTGGAGCGCACACCCAGCAGGTTAGCGTCGGGAGTACAGGGCATTTTGGGCATCTGATGTCTTTCCAGGGCTTTCCAGCGGGCTGTAGCGCTGTAAGCGACTGCTAATAGTGATCGAGGTGCCTCGATTTAGTTCCCGCTCGCCCTTTGGCCGCTAAAACCATCACGCACCAACCAATGCTAGCCCCCCCCCAAGGAAACCTTCATCCCCAGCAAGGCCCCTCCCATCTTTTTTTCTCTCTTCGTCCCTCACAAATTCATTTCTTCCGACGAGCCACACCAATCTGCCTCTCCACCCGCCCAACCGCCCTTTTGCTGGCGACCAGCTCATTGACGCATTCCGCTTCTTTTTCCTCCTTGCCTCCATCCATCGCACGCGGTTCGTCCTCCCTCGCTGTCCTCAATTGGTTGTTTTTCATCTTTTTACTCGGCGCAATTTGTCTTTTTGGTGAGCCTTACCCATCCGCCTTCCATCACACACCCCAGTTGCGCCTGCTGCATTTCCCGTGCTGTGTCCGCCGCTACCTGCCAGCCACATCCAGGGGATAGGCGACGGTTGCTCCAGCGCCTTGCTGCGAATCATCGTCGAACCTCATCGTGTCCTCATCGCGGCATTGTCGATTCCCACATCCAGCCCGGTGGACCTGCGATTGCAGTGCCGAGTCATTGCCCTCCCACATCCTTAAATCTCGTGTTACATCCGTGCTGTCACCATATCGCCGCGCCTCGAGCCTCTTCCCCTATTCTCGCTGACCCTTCTTCACAGACGCAGCATCTCATCGACGCTTGCAAATATCGATTTGCATCGCCCCTCAGCATCACCCGCAGTTCTTCGACCGTCAGAAACGACTTGCTTTTCTTTCTGCCGCAACAAGCACCTCGAGCGATCACCAGTTCAATACCGCCAAGATGGGTTGCGGAATGAGCGCAGAGGAGAAGGAGGGCAGGGCCCGTAACGAGGAAATTGAAAACCAGCTCCGCCGCGATAGAATGATGCAGCGCAATGAGATCAAGATGCTGCTTCTGGGTAAGTCGACCCTGATCGGGCCTGATTATGCCTCTGTGCACACGCGTCTTGCGGGCTGGCTGTCTACGGCTGACTGAAATTACCCTGCTGACAATCCAACCAGGTGCCGGTGAATCTGGCAAGTCGACTATTCTAAAGCAAATGAAGCTCATTCACGAGGGTGGCTATTCCCGCGATGAGCGCGAATCCTTCAAGGAAATCATCTTCAGCAACACGGTCCAGTCCATGCGTGTAATTCTCGAGGCCATGGAGTCGCTTGAACTCCCTCTCGAGGACCAGCGCATGGAGTACCACGTCCAGACAATCTTCATCCAGCCCGCTCAGATTGAAGGCGAGGTTCTTCCCCCCGAAGTTGGCGGCGCTATCGAGGCTCTTTGGAAAGACCGCGGTGTGCAAGAGTGCTTCAAGCGCTCGCGCGAGTATCAGCTCAACGACTCGGCTAGATAGTAAGTCGCCTTTGGCCGCACTGCTGCTCCCCCAACTCGATCCGTACTGACCACCTCTTAGCTACTTTGACAATATTACTCGCATCGCTGCTCCTGACTACATGCCCAACGACCAGGACGTTCTCCGCTCGCGTGTCAAGACCACCGGTATCACCGAGACCACTTTCATCATTGGCGACCTCACCTATCGCATGTTCGACGTCGGTGGCCAGCGTTCTGAGCGTAAGAAGTGGATTCACTGTTTCGAGAATGTCACGACGATTCTCTTTCTCGTGGCCATCTCCGAGTATGACCAGCTTCTCTTCGAAGACGAGACCGTCAACCGTATGCAGGAGGCTCTGACACTCTTCGACTCAATTTGCAATTCGCGGTGGTTCACCAAAACATCCATCATTCTGTTCCTTAACAAGATTGATCGCTTCAAGGAGAAGCTACCCGTCAGCCCCATGAAGAACTACTTCCCAGACTACGAGGGAGGCGACGACTACGCCGCCGCTTGCGACTACATCCTGAACCGCTTCGTCAGCCTCAACCAACACGAGAACAAGCAGATATACACGCACTTTACCTGCGCCACCGATACCACCCAAATTCGCTTTGTCATGGCTGCTGTCAATGGTATGCCTGATCTTCCCCGAAGTTGCCATTTTTCATTTTGCTAACGAACTGCAGACATTATCATCCAGGAGAATCTGCGCTTGTGTGGCCTGATCTAAGCTGCACTGTTTTCGGTTCTCTTGTTCTTATATTGCGTTTTCTTTTTAGCACCTATGAATACCCTCAAAGTCAATTACGAAACTAAACGGACCAAGGGGAGGCGGCTTACGAATCTGTACACCAATGGTCATTATGGCGGCGAGTCAAGCCAACGGCCAAAACCAGCGTCCGGTATTTTCTTCGTTCACACTCCAGGATCACTTGGTGAATCTTCATTGCTATCACGCGACCGGCTTCGCTCCAGCTCTTGGGCAGTGAGGAGGATTAGAAAAAGGACCCTGCGCAGCGAACATGGAAAGCAGAATGTTGGCAGAAATGACGACTAATCTTCCGTTGAAGGCGCGCATCGCTCATGGCTCTTCACAGCTACAAACGAGACCAGCTTTTGATCGGGGCGGAAACGGAGTGGATTTTTGGTTCATCTTTTTTTACTATTCTTGTTGGTTCCCTCTCATTTTTGGTTCTTTTTATTACCAATCTTCTATTTCCTTCTTCGTCGTTCTGCTGTTCCAATCAAGCTGGCCGCTGTATGTAACAAAATCAAGGGAAAAACGGTTTTTTCTGCGTTGTGTATTCGTGGTAGTCAGACCCTTGCTTGAAAGGAAGCAATAGCGCGTTCTGTTTCTGGTTGGTTTTTTTTTCTATATCGGACTTTTCTTTTTCTTTTGATTTTTTTAGCTTTTGGGTGGTGGGAATCGAGAGAGAAGATCGGTGACAAAAAACCCTGAAAAAAAAGAAGCATACGCAAACGATTGCCATCTTGATGAAGAAGAGGCACAAAGGCGCGCGTCGCTGATGCATTTACTTTGTTTATTACGAAATCACCAATTTTATTAATCCGTGCCCGGGCTTGCATGCGAGTGATCCTCCGATTTACATACAAGGCTGTGGTCTACATCTAGACAAGACATTGCAGAATCAGGAAACGTGGCCTGCATTATGGAGCCGTGCTCGTGGCAGAAGACGACTGTTCGGGCATGCTCATCTGTTCGTTCTAAAATATAGCAGAGAGTCCTGTACCATCTACCTACCACTTCACCGTCTCCGCAAGCCAAACCAGCTTGAGTCTCCCAGAACCCTGCCTGGCCAGATCAAGACCAAAACGCCCAAATGCAAGTACAGACAAAGTGTGTCACTTTGGGAAGCAAATCGAGGCAGGAAATGATAGCAACATTGCTGAAAATATGTACAAGAAGAGAAGAAAAGTGTGGACAGGTGGCAAAGACGCAGTGCTGCGCTTTAAGAGCAAAGCTAGTGACGCACACAATTCAGCTATTCAGGGCATGGGACTACCGCCGTGGACCGAATCAGTCTCCATGGTCTCCAGACGAGCATCGTGTGTGTGTCCTGGAGGCATCATGTGTGAGCTCGCAGTCTTCTGGAAATGCTGCAAGTCGGCCATGCCCTCGGGCGTCTCCATGTATTCGTTGAACTCGGTGATACGCATGGCCAGCTCCTCGGCCGCCGTCTCGATTCGGGCAATGTGTCTGTCTCGTCGGCTCAGCATGGCCACATCGCCCATGGCCTGGTTGATCAGCCGGCGTGTAGAGTCACCGGCCATCCAGGGAGCAGCGGCAGCGGCCACGGCAGCGCCGCCGCCGAGAGCCATCTCCACGTTATGCAGGCCGTGAGGAAAAGGCGGTGGCTGGTGGTAATCCATGAAGGCGGGGGGCTGGGCGGGGAGGTGCTCCGGGGCATGAGACTGACTCTGCGACGAAACGTTGCTCTCGTTGTCGTGATGCGCCGTCGCCCAGTCCGGCATAGTCTTGAGGTCGTCTTTGGGCGATGAATAGTAGGGTAAGTTGTCTCCGGTGGCTTCATCAACCGTCTCGGGAGGGACGCCTGCCGGAGGTGCGGCGGCAGGAGACGTGACAGAGGCGGTAGCAGCACCGCTTCCTATGGTTCACTGTAAGCTACACCCCAGATGAGACTCTCTGTCCACCAGGCAAACTCTTCACTTACCATGAAACGTGCAGCGCGAGCCGCTAGCATTGTACCAACAGTTGGTACAACTGCCACACATCTGACCGTCGTAGACGACGCACTCCTTCCAGGGACCGTGGCCCTTGTGACAGTTCTTGCATGGCTTGCTGGCCGCCTGGCCCGTGACATGCGCGAGAAAGGCCTCCATGTTGCTGCGGCGATCAATATTGAGCTTTTGGTCCGAGCGGCGTTGCGTCGGCGAGCGCTTGGCCGTTTTGTTGGCCACCTTTCTGGAGAGGGCGCTGTCGAGCTTGACGGCGGCGCCGTACTTGGAGTAGGCCAGTTCGGCGGCGGTGTATCGCCGAGGGCTTAGTGTAGGATAAGGGCTCGGATGGTTTGTAAAGGAAAAGTTGTCGCCGCCATCACCGCCGCCGATGTTGGAGAGAGGGCTGCTGTGCGGAAGAGGCAGAGCCATTTGACTCAGACCTAGAGAAACGGGACTGCCATTCGGACCTTGGTCATTGGCCTGATGACTTTGATTAGCATGTTACTAGTTCGAAAAATAGAATTTTGACAGAGCAAGCAAATCCCAGTCAATTGGACGAAGACCAAGAAGATGCTAGAATGTTGGCTCATAGTTCCTTTGATAACACCATAGAGGTGCTCCACGTTTTGCGGCGTCGTGTTGTACAAAGATTTGCAGTCGCGAGCACTTACATTGTGCTTGGTCACTTTTGAGGATCGGGGGCGAGAGGGCATTCTTGATGAGATTTGGAGGATAACGACGGCTTTTCGAGTTCCGAGTGGCAGTGTGCGTGTGTGTGTGTGCGTGACAGGGCAACGTTTGGGTGTTTGATTGTGTAAGTCGAGCTCGCAGCTGGCAGCAGCTGGCAACGGTTTTGGAGTGCCAACGCACAGGCCATGGTTCGCTTCCCAGCAAAACAACGAGTGCGTTGTCAAGTGAGGGGCATGTGAATCGGACGCGTGTTTAGTGTTTGATTGATTTCGTATTGATTTGTTCCTTTGTATTGGTCTTGGGGTCATGAATCTATGGTGCTCCTCGACAAGAATATCACAGCCCTTCGCCCCTCTCTCTGTTTGGTATAAGTGACTTATGCGCCACTCGCACCCGGTTGCTCCCACATGTTGCCGCCACGTCCCTCAGTGATATTCTTCCATTGCTGTGCGAATTCTCGGAGACCTCCCTCTCCAGCCATGCTCGCATCGACAACTTCTTTCGGTAGTTTGTGCGCAGAGTACTGCGGGGTGCTAAAATTGTATGCACCAGGATCGTCCTTCTCCACGATTCTGAGCTCGGGTAGACGACCAGGGCGATAATCTTGTAGCATTTCGTCGTCAAATTCGTCTGCAGTTGTCTCGCCTCCGCTGGCATCAGCAGCGTCTGCGCCCGCTGGTGGGCCATAGAGTGGTCGGACAACTTCTTGCTCAAGAAGCTCTTCCCAGCTAAATAGCAGGGCATCGGTACGGACCGCCCAAGGATTGATGTCCATAAGTCTGACCTTCCCCAGGCCATCTTCTGCGAGGGAGTTTTCGGGAACGTAGACATCAAAAGTGAAGCTAGCGTCTGGGAATGTATGGCGTAAAGTCTCGTTGTAGAATGTTGTTATCTTGCGCCAGAGGTTCGGTCTCAGGCCCTCAAGGAAGGCGTAGTGATTCAAATCTCTTTGCGAAATTGCAATAAGTTGGCGGTGTTTAACAAAGCACCTGAATTCCAAGGCCACGTGTGGTGTGAAATATGGGCGAAGAACGAGAATCGGACTATAGGGCCGGCTGGGCTCGGGAGCGGTACACCCGTCAAAGGCGTGAGCAAGATCATGGGAGACAAAAGATGAAGACTTGAGAAGAAGATATATATCGTTTGGCGATGTGCACTTGAGTGTATTCTGGTGCGCTGAAATCCACTTGGCATCCTTGGGCGAAGACCAATTCAGCTTCGGCGCAACAGCCCCGCCGAGCTCCTCAATAGTCTCTTTGATCTTCTGGTGGGTTTCTGGAAAGCGCTCGTTTGGTGGTAACTGCGAAATCTCGTCGTCATCAGAGTCCTCAGCATTGTGCTGCGCATTGTGAGAAGTCGTGGCGCCGGAACTCTGCCACTCATCGTCTTGCGCCTCGCCCAAGACGTCACTGTCATCTGCTAGAATGATGCCATCCTCTTGTAAGTAGGCACTGAACTCAGCAGGAATCGAAATTATTCTCGACTTAATGCAGGAGCTGCGGTATTTGGGAAACCATGCGTCGTAGGAACAGTTCTGAATGTGGTCTTTCGTGACTGGAGGAAAGACAAACGTAGGCTCCGAGCCCTCAGCATTGTCTTCGCTCAAGTGTGGCATTTTTTGCTGATGCTCTCTCTCTATAAAATCGTGAAGAATATCGAAATGATATTGCAATTTAAAGTCGACCACTGTGTTAATATAGATGTTGTCCTACAAGTAATGCAGAGTTTCCTTGACTCACTCTGCAATTTTGTCGACTCTGATCCCGCGTCCCCCCACTATGACTCCCGATTCTGCCGTATCAAGGTTGCGAATGCGACTTCACCGCCTGACTATTACGATTGCTAGTGACCTTCTGTAGTGACAACCCACTTTATTTCTAGCAGGGTGCAAGCGCAGCAACTCCGAACAACTTCTTCCAGCGGCTTCATTCAGTCGTTGCCTCTCTCGTCCTTGGTCACATCATATCCGGATCTACAGTCATGTCTGAAAACGTCGGTCTGTCCACTCCTCGTGGCAGCGGAACTTCTGGTTACGTTCAGAAGAACCTGGCGCACATGCGCCCGCGCGATCGCGCTGCACCATATCCAAAAAATACAGATTCTCTACCTCACAAGCAACGGCAACCTGACAAGGGCATCCTGGAGCACGATCGCAAGCGCGAAATTGAGGTCAAGGTGTTTGAGCTCCGCGACAAGCTAGAAGATGATGAGTGCGTTGAGCTGAATCGAACAGGTTGTCAGATTGGATCAATAGGCTAACTGGCTGATTTCAGGGTCGATGAGGACGACATCGAAAAGCAATGCGATGAACTCAGGCAAAAACTGCTTCTTGAAATGAATTCCGGCAAGGAGTCGGGCAATCCCCGACGCCAGTTCAAGCAGCATCAGGTTCATGCCATGGCCGATGCCAAGATCAAGGAATCTGAACGGTTAAGAAAGGCACTGAAGATAAGCTCAAACTATGAGGAAGGGAGTTATTGGACAAAACAAGAATCACGGCTGAGGGGGTCTCTGCGACAGGACGAGGAGGGGGTCAAACCTGAGGATGATTAGACGTGACGGTACGAGCGGGCCTCGATATCGAAACGGCGTTGGAAGTGCCAGCTGAAGCATAACGATATGTATGAAGAACCTCTGCAAGGCTTTCTGCTTTCACATTGCATATTTCAAATTGCAAAGAATTTGGCGTTGGGTCGATCTGGTACGTGCTAAAGACCACGACACGGGCTACAGTACGGAGAAGAACGCTGTAATTTCACTACATGATAAATACGATACCCAAAGAAAGTTCTCATGTCGATTTGGACACCAGTCAGCTTGTTCGCCCCAAGTTCTTTTCAGCCGCATATGCATAAAAATATTGAATCAAAGATATAGCGATCGATGTAGGGTAAATCCAAGGTCGGCGGGGCGCGTCTACCTAGTGGGAGTCCCTGGCCGTCGGCACACGTCACAGGCCAGTGGTGCATACCCGGAGAGAGAGCTGGCTTTACTTGGCCACCTTTTCGTTTTTGTCAACCTAGCCACATCACAACGCACCATGGCGCGAGTATCGAGCTCATTTGTGTCTACGAGTGACTCGATAGGAATAGAAGCTGGCGAGCTAGCTCAGATCCTTAGTCGGCTGCAAGACTCGGTTCTTCACCCAACTCCCCAGCGGGAGAAGCAGCTGCGTCGAAGCTACATTGAGCGACAGAAGTTGGCCACGGTGAGCCCGCAAACCCCTATCGCTGGGAACCGCTGGACTGATTGCAGTTCAATTAGAACCTACACTATTTAAATGCGCGCTTGTCAAAGCTCGAACAAGATGCTGCGGCGACACCTTTCAAGTCAAATACAGGGCCTCTCCTCACGAAGCAACGAGATGCACTCGAGCTTTTACTAGACAGATTGAAGGACCTGCAGCAGGTATCCGCCCCCGGCATCAGGAAGTAATGGCTCAACGCTGACATGCAGCAGGTTGCAGCAGATGAGGACGAACTAGACGATGACAGCTCAGACGAGGAGGACCTTCTAGGCGGCTTCATCCCAACCCCTAGCCAGAGCGCAACTTCTACCGCAGAAGACACCGATCCGCAATACACGCCACCGGCAATCGACACAGAGCCTGACTCTCCGATATTACAAGAGCGCACCATGTCACCGCCCTCCCCACCACCAGCACCAACACCCGCTCCCGCCGCTCCGACCGAGACCGCCGCTCCCGCTACCGCTCCAACGCAAACCACCCAGACCCTGCGTGGTCGCCACGGCGCCGAAAAATCTGCCGCAAGCGCCGCCACATCGCACTCATCGGCCCGCGCCGCGCTCTTTGCCAATCGCCGCAAGACTGCGGCGCCGCCGCAGACGTCTACGGCCACGGCCGAGGCCATCCTCGACCAGCAGCGCGCGGAGCAGGACGCGCTGTCCGACTCGATTCTGAAGCTAGCGGGCGCGCTCAAGGCCAGTTCGCACAGGTTCTCGTCGACGCTTGAGGCGGACAAGGAGGCCGTGAGCCGCGCGGGCGAGGGCATGTCCAAGACGGAGCAGAGCATGGAGGCGGCGCGCGGGCGCATGCGCACGCTGCGCAAGATGACGGAGGGCAAAGGATGGTGGGGACGGATGATTCTGTACGCATGGATTTACGGGCTCATGGTTGGCTTGGTCTTGCTTGTCTTTGTGTTTCCCAAACTGAGATTTTGAGCCAGGGAAATGATGCGCTACCGAGCTGGGTTCTGAAAACGAGCAATGTATTGATGTAAACCTGGGAGCTACTTGTATTTGAAATGATACCACGAATCCATTCCAACAAGCCTGGTTCAGGGTGAGATGCTTCTCTGATCGTCTTCATGAACCAGTTTCCATCGGGCTCGCTCCTGGTTCATCGTCTGCATTTTCGGCACTGTCTTCTTGAAGCCAGATGCCGCTGTCATTTGGACCGACAGGCTCGGTATTTGAACAATTACTGCCCCTGGTTGGTCGAGCTGCGGATGTCTCATTCTCACAATTATCCTTGCCAAGGTCTGATGCGATATCGCTGTCGTCGGCATCATGACCAACAGACTCTCGATCGTAATCTTCGGCCATTTCGACAGCTTCTTCTGCCTCCTCACTATCCTTTTTGTGAACTATCTCTTGCGGCAAGTTCTGCTGTTTCCATTCCAAGTTCAATTCCACACAGCAATCGTACGAAAACCGAAGGCGCCTGCCGATGGGCTTGCCGCCTGTCTTGACGACTAGTTAGCCAAGCAGCAGAGAGCTTCCGAGACGGAGCAGCTTACTGGTGGGGTGTATTGAAACGCGGACAGCGGCGTGGTACCTGCTAGGAGCACGCGGTCCTGCCAATCGATGCCCGTCTTGATGCGGAAGAAATTCAGAAAGAGATCCATTTCGTGGCGCCATTTCCCTGAGCATGGGCTGGGGCGATGATAGCTAGCGTTTGGATCTCCTTTTCGTCTCATGAATTTGGCCGTGAACCAGTACAGATGCGGCTTTGCATTGGACTCCCACAGCTACCTCAATTCTGTTAGTCGATGCGATTCGCCGCATATAGCGTATCACCGGAGAGACTTACAGTCAGCACATAGCGCTGCCCGAATTCCCCGTCATCAGAATTATTGCGAGTAAGATCAATCTGGTATGAAAAGAACTCTCGGTCCTGGTAGATGTGGAATAAAGCTGGTACGCGAGACGGAACGTCAGCTGAGAGCACGACATGGTGAATTTGTCTATTGTTGTGAGGACGCATTGAACTTACTCGGGTTCACACCTCGCTCGCCCTCTTTCCGCCCATTTTCTTGCCGATTTCTTTCGCGCGTCTCTGCCCTTTCTTTGGCAAGAATGTTGCGCATAGAGTACTCCCGTTCGGGGAGACGCTTGTTAGCCACGGCAGAGAACTCGAGCCAGTCATAGTGGACAATATGAATGCGCTTGTAATCCTTCAAGACCTTCTTGACTGTAAAGCAAAAACAAAAAGGCATCAGTACAGAACGAATGAGAATACTAGTCATGTTACCTAGAGGCACCCTCTTCTTAAACTGCTCATGAGTGCAGAGAAGGTGCGTGACCTCATCATCGAAAGCTTCGGCGAGGCGACCTTTTCGTAGAGGTATCCACGTTCGTAGATTATCGAGCGTAATTGTCGGCGGTAGAGGCCCCGCGGTTGCAAGAACTCGGTTCTTGAATATTTGGCGAGGCATTGTGTGTGAATGTCATACACTCGAGAGACGAAGAAGGGGCTATAGATGTAATCAGCAGCGTCAACGTCAAACAAATTGCCGGAAGAAAGACCTAAGGGACGAATTCGAGAACACACCTGAATATGTAATCAATAAATCCATCAGATTCTACAGTCAAAGGGCGGTGACCAGTATGCAGATACAGTTGGCAAACAGAGCCCTCGCGACAACGAGTAGGTCTGAGCAGATGACGCGGTAAAGGGACACCCAGGATATTCCAAGCCGATAAAGATGCGATCGTGGTCGCACATAATGACTTCTATTTCAAACTCAGATAAAAAAAAAACATAGTGCTTCTATCTATCGAATTGCCTTGGAGTTCTTAATAAACGCCTCAATCCTCTCGAGACTTTGCTTTCCGGCCTCCTCCACACCGCTACTGACGTCCACACCGATAACTCTGTCGGCCAAGTTACCCAGCGCCGTAACTGCCTCCGCGACATTATCTGGATTCAGGCCTCCAGCGAGGAACACTCTCAAATTAGAGTCCTTCTCCAGAACAGCCTTGACCTTGGAGACATCGATCAGCTTGCCAGAGCCAGCTCCAGAGTCGAGAAGAGGAACGGTGTGGAAGCCGCGAATACCCAGACTGATATGATCAGGCTTGAATGCGCGAATGACGGGGACAGGAATCAGGTTGGCCCATTCGATAGGCTCATCGCCATGAAGCTGTACCAGATCCAAGTTATACAACTTCTGCTTCTCCAAGACCTCGCTGAGCGGCTGGTTCTGGAAAATACCCACAAGCCGGGGCCGGGAGCTTTGGAGTCTGCTGTAAGCGCCCTGGAAGTAGTCGGCAGCGCCAGTGGCAGGTAGTGAGGGTTCGGGCTTGGAGCTTGTTGTGCCAGTAAAAGAATGTACTGCCTCTGAGATGGCGAGGGCAGTCTCGTCATCAATGCACCGCTTTGCACCCGGCACGAGACACATGCCAACAAAGTCAGCTTGCGACTCGACCGCCTTTTTGGCAGCCGCAGCGCTTCGTGTACCGCAAATTTTGACGAGCAAGGGCTGAGTCTGCTCCTTTTTGGCTTCTGGCGCCTTGCCAGAGCACAGCTCGCTGATGAAGACACTGGCGTCGGGCGCTCTCATGATGGCCTCGCCAACTAAAACGGCATTGACACCGTCTTTCTTGCACATGACGACATCATCATATGTGTTGATACCACTTAGGGCGCAAATGATGGTGGTGTCGGGTACCATGCTGCGAAGACGACCAGTTGTGTCCAGATCGACATCGAAAGTCTCCAAATTTCGGTTGTTGACACCAATTACCTTGGAGCCGAGCTTGACGGCAATAGTCATCTCTTCAGCGTTCTGCACCTCAACCAAAGGCTCCATTCCGAGGGACTGAGAATATTTGTATAGTCGCTCGAGCGTTTCAACATCCAGCATCTTGACAATGAGAAGAACCGTGTCCGCACCCGCGAGCCGAGCTTCTAGAATCTGGTACTCATCGAATATAAACTCCTTGCGCAGAATTGCTGGCCTGTTTGGCATGCCTTCTAGGACCTGGCGAACTGCTCTGAGATCCTCGATGCTTCCCTTGAACCACTCGGGCTCTGTGAGGACGGAGATGACACTGGCACCAGCCAGCGCATATTTCCTGGCTTGGACAGGCGCGCGAACGTCAATGTTGAAGATGCCCTTGGACGGGGAGCCACGCTTGATTTCGGCCATGAGGGAGACGTCAAACGGAGTTTGGCTGAGACGCTTTACAAACGGCACCAAAGGTGGAGCGACACCGAGATCATAGGTGGCTTGGAGATCCTCCATTCTCTGAGAAGGGATCAATCGCTGAGCATTCACGGCCGCACGGCGGCTGTCGTAGATCTTTTGCAGAATGTTGTTACTCTTGGGGGTGACCGCCGTAGTGCCGTTGACGGTCTTTGATGCAGCTTGTAGACGGTTATTGTCCTTCCAGGTACCACCCTGCATGTGCAAAAAGTTTCGAATCATGGTGCGACCATTCTCAGTCAGGATGCTTTCGGGGTGAAACTGCACAGCTTCCATCGTATACTCTTTGTGGCGTACACCCTGGATAATGCCGCGGCTACCATCAGGCTTGGCGACCCAGGAAGTGACCTCGAGGCACTCGGGAAGTGTGACGGGTGATCCAGCAAGAGAGTGATACCTGGTGATGGGGATCTCCTGCTCCAGACCCTGGAAAACGCCCTTGGCATCGTGAGTCAACGGTGAAGTCTTGCCGTGCAGCCACTCTCCGGCCGAATTGACTTCGCCGCCATAGACGTCAAAAATGCATTGTCTAGTAAGTTAGTGGTTTTTCGGAACAAAATGATTGTTGAAAAGTTCTTACAGGCCCATGCAGACGCCAAAGATGGGAATCTTGCCCGCAAAGTGGCGAATAGCATCTCGGCTGATACCCGAATCCGTAGAAGGATGGCCCGGACCGGGGCTAATAATAAGCTGGCTAGGACCCCTTTTGATGAGTTCGTCCAGAGTAATCTTATCGTTTCGAATCACATGAACAGTGGCGCCCTCCAGTGTGAGATATTGGTAGATATTCCAGGTGAAGGAGTCATAATTGTCGATGAGAACCAGATTGGATGCCGTGGGAATTGGCGCTGAGTGCTTGGCCTCGCGAGGAGAATGATCGATAATATCAGGAGACGGCATGGTAGGAAGCTGCGCCTTCAGCCGCTGCTCGTTTGATGCAAAGAAGAACTGTCTATAAGTCAAGGTGTGTTACTTCACAATGATAAGCCGTCGCCATATCGAAGATATCGGCAGATGTACAGTGTCTATTGCTCATTTCGCACTGTATGAACTAACGCGGATACAGGCACCGTTACAGTCGGAACAACACCACCAACTACTTAGCAATCAAGAGGGATTCTCAGAGCTTATAAAAGCGGCCCTTGATAATTTATGCTCGTGGGAAATGAAAGTTTCAACTTCATTATATGATTGCGAGTGTCGCAACGTATCTCGAAAACTCTAAAAGGAAAATATGGATATTCGAGAAATAGGTATTCGTATTCGCGCAGGTGAGGAAAGGCAGGCTTACCTACTGCAGGAGAGGAGTAGGAGTTGCTGCTGTCAATGCGCGCCGAAGCCGCTCGCACTGTACTGGCCTGCGGCTGAATCTCGGTTGACCATAGCTTCCCAAAAAAAAAGTTGGCCCACAGCGTGAGCTCTTGTTGTATCAGTTAGATCTCGCGGTGCTACACTGCTACGGCGCGTCAATCCAAGCATCCTCTCATCTCGGTTCAAGGTGATGTGTTATCTGCCACTGCCGCCACATTGATGACAGTGGCAATGGCTCCCTTGTCGGATCGCATCTATTTTCCTTCCCTGGAAGAGTGCCTTTCCGGGAAGAAGGTGCTTCTGTAAGCTTTCGCAGCTGCTCGCTCGCCTCGCGCGTCTCATGCAGTCAGTGCTAACTCTTCAAATATAGGTCATGGAAGCTTGTCGCAACCGCACTTTCTGACAACTCCGGTCGTCTACAACGCAGCAACGCGTTATCTGAATTCTTCTCCGACGAATATGTGCACGGACTGCTGAAGAACCCCATCTCTGCCTTTTCACCCCCGGACGACGCCTCGAGCAAAGATTTCGAGACCAAGACCGCGCCGATCAATGTGACCTCTGCCTCGACTCAGAAGCTCGATATCAAACTCTTGAAAGACGACGCACAGTGGCTGAGCAAAAACGCCAAAACCAATCTCGTCGCAGCGCTGCGCGTTGTGATCGCTGAGCATCAGTCTCGACCAGCGCGCCATCTCGTTGGGCCACTTTCAGCGCAGGATGCCACCAATCTCCACGAGGCCGCTGGTCTCAAGGATGGCCAGAGTGCACCATTCTTATCAGACTTGAGCTCGGTCGCAGTCTTGGATGCCGAAGAAATATCTGCCGAATTCGAGAAGCAGGAAGCTCGCCGCACGCGCCTCTTCGAAACCCTGCTCAGCGAACGCCGACACTACATGATGGCCATCGATTACGTCAACTCTGTCAAGCTGTACGGACAACTTCCTATTTATGCGTCGAATAATGAGGACATCAAGGCATCATTCAACTTTGGCGCGCAACCGAACAAGGAGCAAATCGAGGCACTGCTTCCCGCATACTTCAAGGTGCTCACAGACTGCACAGGACGGATAGAATCTGGCCTGCTTGCGACTACCGACGATGCATTGCTTTCCAACGACAAGACCGAAATTGAATGGCTGCGAACCCTGTTCACCGAGATTGTTCATGCCCTCTCAGTCATTTTCCAGCTTGTCGATAGTCTAGGGGATGAATTTGCTCCGCCCAGTTCTGTGACGCAGTGGTTCTCGCTAATGGAAATGTACAACTTTTTTGAATCTGTGCAGCCAATCCACGAAAGCATCGCTGAGCTGATAACACCGCTCAAAACGCTTGCCACCGCCGTCTCAATCATCATGCTGAAGCCTAAACGCTCGCTCAGCTATCTGAATGAAAAGGACGAGGACTCTGGACAACCTGACGATGTATTTGATTCATATTTGCTATCATCAGAGGTGCTCGAACAGATTCACAAGTGTATTCTCAACGCGGCGAGCTTGGACATTGAAAGCGCAACGCCGGTCATATTTACGTGGGCCCTACTCCTACATAGGCTCAATGCCTCATACCATAGCCGAACTGAAAAGAGAGATAATCTCTTGCAGCAGAATGCGCGGGAGAGATTCGAATCCGGACAAGTAGCGCGCCCAACTTTTGGTCGACGAAACTCAGCTGGCAGTTTATTCTCGATCGAGTCAACAAAGTTTGACAACTTTTTAGAAAATGCCACCACCCCCCGTGATGCCCAGTTCGTGGAGCAGCTGGCTACGGGCGTGACCACTGGTGGAAGAGTATTCAATACCATGGGTGCCATGGCAGAGGCGCTTGGACCGAGTATATCGGGCTGCGCGTCTCCTTTGCTGAGCTCGCATATCCGAATCGTCTTCGCCGAGGTTCTCAAAGTTAGCTACGGTTATATTGGATACCAGGCGGACAACCTTAGCTGCTTGTTTGGCTTGTTGTCACCTGGTCGAAGTTACTGGGATTTGTCTTCGATTCAAAGCCTTCGCACTTCTGGCGACACCCTATCTTCCTTCATAAACGACGATCAGCTTATGCACTGGTTCTTTCAGCAGGCTATGGACCGTTACCCATTTGAGTTTCTGCCTTTCATTTCACTCTGCAAATCTCTCTGCACTGTCACCGGTGATGCAGATGACCAGCGATATTCAGATGTGCTGAACCTTCTGCGGAACACGTCCACCTTGACCTTGAAGCTACCGAAGGGCTTTCAAGGATATGAACTCGTTCACGAGGATGAAAATACCAATTCTTTTTCTCTGACACATGAGATTCCGCTCATCACACTCTCATCCTCGTGGAAGAAGAGGCAGATGGACGATGACGCGTATCGTCTGCCTCAGGGAACCCAAGGACGATTCATCACAGATAGTGGACGACTGGCTCTTGTTGAGTTTCCACACTCGACGCTATCGTTACTTGGTCGCCGCCTGGAAATTTATCTCATGAAGGAGGGGTACCAGTGCTTGTTCGCATCATTGCAACCCGATGAAATTGCCGAAGTCGTCGAGCTCCTTGCTGCACTGATTCGCATGGAGCACCTAAAAATGACTGGCAATTGTGATTCGTTAATACGCAGAGACGATGACATTCTTTCTGAAACAAGCAAGCACATCAGTGGTGGAAAGGATATTGTCACTGTTGTTTGTGACACCATGGACTACTTCATGCAAGAGGAGCTGGAGATGACAGAAGAATCCGCCATCAACGTCATTACAGCGTGCATCAAGTTCTTGGATGCTATTCTACCCGCTCAACCAAGCAGAGTATGGTCCTATCTCGCTCGTAGTGAGCTACTGAGCTCCGAGTCAAGAGCCGGAAAACTGTCCAAGTTGACTGGGAGCCTTGACCTGGTTTCCGAGCGTCTCGAGTTCCTGAACTCTGCACTCTTATTCTTTTCCAACGTTATTGATACTCCACTCGCATCTGGTGTTCAACGGCAGGCTAAGAACAGAGCCCGTAGCCGGCAGCAAGAAGTTAACCCATGGCTTGGCACTTCAGATAAAGTGCTGTCGAAAGTCAGCCTGGCTGTGGCTAACGCCGCTGTCGATATCTTTGAGAATACGTCCACTTGGCGATTTGACACAGAGATAAGCCGTGTTTCTTTACTCAACAGCGTCGTACCCCTACTTGACAAAATCATCCACCACAGCTACAGCATGGGCAAGTCAAACGAGTCAGACAACCTCACAAGCTGCCTGAAACCAGCAGCATCCTATGTCATTGACTGCTTTCTCTCACCCTCAAGTGGTACTCTAAGGTTCCAGCCACTGCTATATTCCTTCATTTCCGCTCTACTTACACCAGAGTCCACTCTGTACCCTTCAAAACTCGACCTCGTCCGCACTGAAGTCGAATCTGTTCTGACTTTTGCTTCCTCTCTTCTTCGCGCTGCCAACTACTTGGAACGACCATCCGACATGCTCGAGGGTTACCTCTTCAAAAGTTCGACATTGCTGGCTCGTCTGAGCGCAGTCTCGGATCTCTTCCGCACCCCTATTTTGTCTCTTCTTCAGGCGCTAGTCTCAAATGCAGGCAATGGTTCCAATGAACCTCCATCGCTGCTGGGATATCTGGGGCCTCAGATATCCAAGTCATTCATCACCCTTCTCTCTGGCCTAGGCGAGCCATACGCCCTACAAACAGATGTGGAAATAATCTGGAGATTTTTCTCCTCTATTCTGCGAAACCGTCAGCAGTGGATGTCTAACTGCCTGCTGACTGGTCAAACGCCCCGAGAAGCCATGGCCAAAGACAGCAAGACAACTGATATCTCGGATGACTCGGTCTTTGCAACTGCTTTGTCCAAGTTGAAGAGCATTGAGAACTTGGAAGCTACAGAGGCTCTTTCAATCTTGGATTTCGTTGCATCAGCCCAGAACTACTGGCCATGGACCGTTTTCACATTGCAAAAGGACACCTCATATATGGACGGCTTGCGCTCATATGTGCGTACGCTGAAGCCCTCGCATCTTGTTGTGAAGTCTGATAGCATTCGCGCTTGCCGTGAGGCCAGACTGGCTGCATACATTGCCGAGATTTTTGCTATGCAGCTTTACCATTCGCGACATTTGGGGAGTGCCGAGGGTTTGGCGAAAAGTCTTGTCAACGACTTGGATTACTATCTGCGCGATGGCGTCGAGGTGGCTGGCTACAACAAGTCATTGCACAACAATTTTGCAAAGAACTTTGCAAACAAATATTTTGGCTGTTCAGTTGATAACTTTAAGAGAACACCTCTTGAGCCAGGTCATCTCGGTCCCGACTACTACTACGATCTAGAGCAGGCAGACACAATGCTGCGATTTGACCCCGGATGGCTCGGACGCAAGTCAAATGGCTTCAAAAATGAAATGGAGCTCGCAAACACGAATCTGTCACTGGTTGATGCCCAAATTGCCTTGTTCCACTCTTGGGAATTCCTACTCGTTGAACTGAGTACCTGCCTCCCTGGCAACGAGACCATCGGCAAACAAATGCTGCAAGTTTCACAACAATGTCTCAACGCTAACCAGAATGTTCCTGGACCCGAGAGCATCTTCTTGACTCTTGTGCAAGAGCGTGCCAACTTGGCTCTAGTGCTTGTGCAACGCTTAGCCAAGTCTAGACTACCAGTTCAGGACGTCAATCAGATGCTTGGCACATTGGTGGGTACAATGAGTGGTGTAGATGAGCCATTCGCCAGCAGCTCCATCGGGTACTACCGAGTCCTTTTGAAGGCGCTGTTTGTCACCCTTCGCGCATACCGTTTGGGCGCCGAGAAGAGCGGCCGAGGTGAGCAGGAGGCCTCTGATGCACCTATCAACTTCGGCGAATCTTCTGTGTCGGTGACACAGACTGTCTTGAGCCTGCTGGATAGTGTTGTTGGTCGTGGTTTCCGTGCACTCGTCAGCCTGATCCACGATGGCGATGCTGAAGTCTTCCCCGAGGACTTGGGTTTGCTCACGGCAATTATGCAGGCTGCCTTGTCGCTGCCTACGATTGACCAGTCTCAGACCCAAGTTCTCAATATTATGGCCACCCATGACGTCGTCAATGCGGCGACATCGCTGTATTCCTGGGCAGACCAGTTGGCCATTCAAGGCGACCCTGTCTATGGCGAGCTAGCCATTCTGTTCCTACTTCAGCTTTCCACACTGCCCCTCGTAGGAGAGCAGCTTGCCTGTGATGGCATCCTCAGCAACCTCTTGTCCGCCAAGATCACCAAGATTATGCTCAAGACGAATATCTCGCCCACTTCGGACGCACCAATAGCCCAACGCTGCTACGCAATATGGGTCAAGGGCCTGCTACCGCTCATGCTCAACCTACTTACTTCACTAGGTGCAGCTGTAGCTCCCGAAATCACCTATGTGCTGAACCAATTCTCGCATTTGCTCAGCGCGAGCGTGGATCGCTTCGAAGCACCCGGTGCTAATCGAACGGGAACAAAAAATACAAATCACTACATTACGTTGTTGGGCACGTCGGAAATTCATTCGCTGGCTCTAATCACTCGCGTTCTCGCAGCGCTTCGCGCAGTCAACCCCCGCGACATTGGACCCGTCCCATGGGACGACAGTGGCCTGCTCGAGAACGTTGATTACTGGCTGTCGAGCCGTCGATTGCTCAAGGAGAAGCTGCTCCCGTTGGGCCAGCGTGAGATGGAGTGGCGGACAATGAAGGTTGGGGCTGGGGCAAGCGAGAATATCCTTGAAGCCAAGGTTGTTGCGCAGCTTAGTATTGTCCGGGATATATTGGCCGACGAAACGGAGTAGGTGAATGAGTGCGCGGCTGATTTTCCCTTTATCTTTTTGGCGTGTTTTTGTCTTATTGGAATAGCAGAGAGGCTGCCCTTGGCAGTATCGATTCTGGCGTTGGTCACTGGGTACTGCCACATAGTGTTGTATGCATTAAGAAAGCGGAAAACTGAAAGGGAAAGCACGATGTGAGGTTTTTGGTTTCGGGAATTATGATGAAAAAAGCACACATAATCAATTCCATATTACGGTTCTTGCGACAGAAGTCAACGCAAATGATGAAGGATGGGAGGTCGAATTTTAAACGGTATTTGACGGGCTTGTTACCAAAATACAGCGATGATTGGTGGTTTTTTATAGTACAGTATGTGTTGCAGCTTGTTCACGATGGTTTGCTCATTCAACCACCGCTGCTGAGGTTCCCAACAGACTCCAATGCTCCTTGATCCACCTCCTCCAGACAGTGGTGTTTTTCCCGTGATGATACAATGTTGGCCAATTGACAGGCCGGTGCCTGCTGCCACTGCAGCTCAGGTCGCTGATGTGCCACCTCTTCCTTTTCTATCTCGTCGGTATTATATATTCCAAACAAAAGACGAGTCGGCTGTGGTGCAGCCCCGTCTTTAGTTTTGCAGCTGCTGCGACAGCTGAGCGTTGTGCTCCTGGAAGCGGTCGCTGACGCGCTGCTGGGTAGCCATCCACTTGAGGACGCAGCGGTTGATGCAGCCGTTTTCGCGGGATGAGAGGGCCTTGGAGGTGAAGTCGTCGACGCACGAGGTGAAGCAGTGGTCGACGAGGCCGCCGAAAGCCTGTTTTGATGGGTTGGTGTGCAGTTAGCCTTTTGCTCCTGGGAAACTTTTTTTTTTTGGGAGGGAGCTCAATGCCCTGCCCGGTAATGTCACGTACGCCCATGAATTCCTTGACCTGGCGCTTCTGCATGCGCTGCTCCAGGGTGCGCTGCTCGGATGTGGAAAGCCTGTCATGGTCAGCTGTGTTCCCTAATTTGACAACCGCCCCCTCCCTCCCCTTGTGCTGTCGCATCGCATTCGAGTCGTGATCGCCGCGGCGAGTCGCGAGTGGGTTCATCTCGCGGGTGGGAAGGCATACATGTCCATTTTGGCTGATTGAGATGGCGTCGACGAGGCAGAAAAATTTGGTTGAGAGAGCGTTGCAGTGGCGTTGGGTATGTGGCTGTAGGGATGACGCTGGTGATGAAATTTCGCGGAGAGACAACTTCTTGTCCGTTCGTTATCAGGAGCTTGCGCTTGCCGATAAGCCGAAAGGGGAAGAGTGTGAGCTCGAAACGTCACGTGTGACGATGGATTATTTTGACGATAACAAATTGCAGCCTACTAAATCTACTGATCAGCCAAGTATAAAGGCAATATAGCAAGCCTGTAATGAAATTTTATTTACTTTATATATATACATTTAGAAAATAAAATGGAACTATTAGCAGGAGAAGCTTAGTGTGCACGGAATGAAGACGGGCAGTTCTGTAGGTAGGTAGTACGTCATGGCTGGTACTGCATCTAGCTATTCTAAGCTATTCTGGCCCTACAGTGCCTGGCTCGACGAGTACACTGCGAAAGAAAAAGCCAACTATCGAGGAACAACAAATTACACGGTAATACTTCAAAGGATTCCTCGCTCTCCAGCCAAAAAGTGTACACGCTCTCAGTTGCGCCAGGGAGGCAAGGCCCTCCAGCTCTTGCTTTCATCGTGCTTGGTGTCGCAGCGGGAGCAAACGACTTCGTGCTCAGTGTACGGGGTGGCCTGCTCAGTCTTTCCTAGAAGAAAGTCCTTCATGAACTCGACCGAGTGGATGCCCGCATAGAGGGCGTTGTGGACGAAATCGTCCATGCCCGAGTACTTGCCGCACTTGCCGCACTCGGAGCGGTCCTGGAGAAAGTTGTTACCCCTGAACTTCAACTCGCTCGCTGTGGAAGGAAACGTCATGTTAGCCGACGATGATTTGCATGCATTCTTCTTCTTCTTCTTCTTCTTCTTCTTCTTCTTCTTCTTCTTCTTCTTCTTCTTCTTCCGGCGAAGGGTTTCAAGTGACTTGGTTTCTCTTACTTTCCACGTTGAGCATGCTGGCAATGTGGGCACGCTCCGTCTCCGTGAGCAGCCAATTGTAAAAGGTCTCGTTTTCGTACTCAAAGACCTCAGAGGCGGCCGGCTTGTCCATAGGAAGGTTGTGGATGGGGAGAGCAAAAGCCATGATGGATGCTCAGAAAGTGTTTTTGACAGATGAGTGTAGAATTGATGTTTGCGTAGAATTGTATTGCTGTTGATCGAAGAGACGGCCATTGGAACTCTGGGCAAAGCAGCCCTTATATAGCTGAGAGATTGGCTACGTACCAAATGATGCGCCGGATGGCGTGCTCCCTCTGCTTCAATCACTGTCGGAGGCGAGACATGCTCTCCAACGCCGTCACTTCTAATTCGCTGGTACCAGGCTATCAAAGTCAGATTCGAGACAGGCTGCCAGTGCTTGCACCCTGCTGCAGACCGTGAGAACTTCCCCGCACCTCAGCATTTGGCGACCGCGAGCGGTCTAGAGCAATCAATTTGCTACTTCTGACGTGACTGGAGTATGTTGTCGAGTCTCTCGGCTCTCTCGAAGCCAACACCGAGGAGAGCAAGCTGAACGCGTTTTCGAGCTATGCCGGTCGGCCTTCAGGATGTGATGGACATCGTTGCAGCCCCATCATTGCAATACCAGAAGTCGAAGCAGAGGATATGTTTCAATTGTTGAAGATAAGGACTCTTGCAATGACGTGGCAATTCTCAAACTACATCATGCAAGTCTGAGAAGCAACGTAGAGCCAGCGGCTGGACCGTAGAGATGACGTTGCAAAAAAACCCAGAAATAGAGTATAGGACCCAACTGTCAGCAGATAATGTGCAAGTTCTCCTGGTATGCAGACTTCAGCCAGCCTCCTGTCTTTGCATGATGCACTCATGTTCCAATGTAGTGATGGCGCCATAAGACCTTGCTGCAGACTTTACTGTAGTTGTGAGACAGGCAAAGTCCGCGAAGTTGGGCGGATGTACATATCTCAAGACGCGGGGAATGCTAAAAGCGTGTAATTTAAGGGTACTTTTTGGTATATTGTCTTGGGAACCGTGTCGTTGGGCTGCCGTGAGCGCAGTCTCCGATCGACGCCAAAGTCCGATCATGCCATATGTAGCTAAACCTGCACGCTGATCTCTGGTACAAGAGTGATTTCAAACAGGCTTTCCGAGCTGGCTTTCTTTTTTTCATGATGCTCGGCGGCTATGGTTAAGGGCTGCTCCTCTTCGCATTGGCAATGACTTTGCATCGCTAGACATATTATTCAACTGCTGTCGGTCATAATGGCAGATGAGCTTCTACTCGACTATTTTCTACATTGGTTCGGATCAAGTCAGTTTTTACAAGCCGGCTTCATCGTCGCTCAACGATTCGATGATGTCAAGTGTCACCAGTGGCTGAATCAAGTTTGTGACTTAGGAGTGCAATTGTGTGGCTGGGTGATTCGAGCAAAGATCGCAACCCCTATGACCAGAATGTGATTGCAACAGCACAGCCTTTGAATCAGAAGCAAATCGATTTATCTTGCCAAAGGATAGTAGCAAGATTATAATTCCTTGGGTACTTTTATGTGATGCTGCTCTTGGATTTGATAGTTTCTTGGCCCGCTGCCCTTGGACCTTTGGGCCGATGCTCTCTGATGCGCCGCCCCCACTAATAAACTGGCTCGTAACATGTCTCAACATTTTCCGTTTGACCGTAATCTCGACAACAACACATGGGCATTCCCATTTCTTTTCACAAATCTCGACCCACTACCGTCTTGCCTACAAGGAGACTGTATACTTGACTAAATGGCTACTGCTGCCACCGCGGAGATGCTGCCGCGCTTTCTTCTGCCGCGCTTTCTTCTGCCGCGCCTCAGCTGGCAGCCCGCAACGGCCCCTCGCCGTCTAGTAGCCGCGGCCATTCCGCCACTGGCCGCTCGCCAGCTGCAGCAGCTCTCCCATGCGCGACGACCTCGAATCTCTTCTGCGAGAAGTGACCGGAGCAGCCCGATTCTGTCGCGCGCATTTCACGCCTCGGCGCCGCGGGCGCGCGATCACCACTTTGATACGCTCAAGTTTGTCAAGCGGCTGCGCGACGAGGGTTTCACCGAGGAGCAGTCGGTGGCCATGATGAAGGTCCTGAGCGACGTGATTGAGGAGAGGTAAAAGAGAAATCTCCTCGCCCGATTTTGGCTCGAAACACCAAGGGAAGCCTTCCTGCTAACCACCCTCCCCCCCGCGAATAGCATCCAAAACCTCACTCGCACCATGGTTCTCCGCGAGGACTCGGCCAAGGCCACGTACACGCAAAAGGTCGACTTTGCCAAGCTGCGCTCTGAGCTGCTCTCGGCCGACAGCACCGAGACCAACACGACGCGCGGCGCGCACGAGCGCCTCTCCAACGACATTGCCAAGCTCGGCAGCCGCCTGCGCGACGAGGTCGCCCGCACCCAGGCCAGCGTCCGCCTCGACCTCAACCTCGAAAAGGGCCGCATCCGCGAAGAGGCCCTTGGCCAGGAGCTCAAGATCAAGGAGACTGAGACCAAGATTGAGCAAGAGGTTGCCGCGCTCCGCGAGAAGCTCGAGCAGGTCAAGTTTCAGACCCTGCAGTGGCTGATGGGCGTCTGCACTGGCTTCGCTGCTGTGCTGCTCGGTGCTTGGAGATTGCTCATGTAGGAAAGGGTCTCACGGACAGGGTTTGCATGCATCATTCTCTCTTTCTCCCTTTGCGGATTCGACTTCTTCATGCGCTTCTTTGAGTAGCGTCGCTGGTTGGAAGATGGTTGGGATTTCTTGGGTAACGACACTCTTACGCCGCCTGGCACAGCGCTTGTGTCCCTTTCCTTTGTCAGGAATAAGCCAACGAGGCATCACTTTCACCGAGCAGAACATAATACAAAGCCACTACATACACCGCATAGCCATACCTTCTCTCCACAAAACTTGACTTGATACATGCTTCGCGGGACAGACAGTCCTTCTAGTCCGCTAGACCAGCTAACCTCCGTCCTCGGGCGCCCTCTACATTGCCCCACTACCATGAAGCTTGACCATCATTCTCTCTTTATGTCGCATTTTCTCATTCTCGCAACTGACGATTGAACACTCGCGTTAGAAATGACTAGCTCTGAAAAGCCCAGATTCCTTCTTCTGGGGAGCCTTGAGCTGTTTGTTCCTCCCCCCCCCACTGCACCAATGCCAATGGGACAACTGCCACTGACCAGCCCGTCACCAGCGCCCACGATGCATTGGCTTCCGTCGCCCAAATCGGCGGCATGATCCAGCCAACAGCAACCAACAGGGCCGATTTTCTCGCCGAGTGCCAGTCCGAGGCCTTTTCCGGCGTCGAGGCCATCTTTCGCACCTACGGCTCCGCGCGCATCACCGGTCTCTTTGACGAAGAGCTCGTATCCGCTCTACCCAAGAGCTGCCGCTTCGTGTGCCACAAAGGTTAACCTACCCCCTTCTCCCCCCCCATATCCCCCCCCCCCACGCTTCGCTCTCTGCAATAACCCTGATTGTTTTTTTTCTTCAGCGGCCTACTCAAAGCTGACCCGTCTTGTGCACAGGCGCCGGCTATGACCAAATCGACGTGGCGGCGTGCCGCGCGCGCGGCATTCGCGTCTCCAACACGCCCACCGCCGTCGACGAGGCCACCGCCGACGTGACGCTATTCCTCATCCTCGGCACCCTGCGCAACCTCAACGTTGCCATGAAGACGCTCCGCCAGGGCACCTTTCGCGGCGCCAGCGGCCCCGACGGCGACCCCGCCCGCCTCCCCGCGCTCGGCCACGACCCGCAGGGCAAAGTGCTGGGTATCCTAGGCATGGGCGGCATCGGACGCAGCGTCGCGGCCAAGGCGCGCGTCTTTGGCATGAAGATCCGCTACTACAACCGCAATCGGCTGGCGGCGGAAAACGAGGCCGGCGCCGAGTATGTTGATTTTGCGACGCTGCTGGCGGAGAGTGATGTCCTGAGCCTCAACCTCCCGCTCAATGTAAGTCTTTGGTTGTTCTCAACGTCATGAAGCCGAGTCTATTACATGCTAAGTGCGGTTGGATGGTGATCAAATAACAGCCAAAGACACGACACATCATATCGACCAAAGAATTTGGCATGATGAAACGCGGCATCGTTATAGTCAACACAGCCCGTGGCGCCGTCATGGACGAGGCCGCGCTCGTGGAGGCGCTAGACAGGGGCATCGTGTCGAGCGCGGGGCTCGATGTCTTTGAACACGAGCCCGAGGTGCATCCGGGGTTACTGGCCAACGACAAAGTCATGCTGGTGCCGCACATGGGCACATGGACGGAAGAGACGGAGACCAAAATGGAGGAGTGGGCGCTGGACAATGTGCGGCTCGCGCTGCAGCAAGGCCGGCTGAAGAGCATTGTGCCGGAACAAAAGGATATGCAGTAAGGGATAGCAAGCTTGGTTCAGAAAGAGAAATAGAACAACCTTAGAAGTACAGCCGCAATAGAGGTAGGATGGCCAGCATTTTAGAGGCATAGGTTAAATGGCTTTTGATCACTTTACGAAATCAGATCTTAGAATCGTCTCAATTAAGGGAATCTAATCGACCACGGTTGACGGGCCGTTCGAGAGCGCTGCCCATGGGATCAGCTGCTCAGACTATATATAAGTTCATCTCTCATTCCGGGGGGAATCATTACCAAAACAATTGCAACGCCATTTGTTGAAAAAGCACATCCTTGGCCGGTCTTAGACAAAGACAGCAATGGCAAAGATGCCAACATCATGAAACAAAAGAAACCATGGATTGCCCCCATACTTTTTAGTCTTGATCAACCCAAATGCCTCGCAATATTATGCTGTTGAAAACACAAGTGTACCCCAATATGCTGTGTAGAAAATCGTTACACGTTGAGTGAGTGCCGGTTGAAAGGAAACTCTGATTTGGGCCGTTTATTATTACAGTGCGCTCTCCGCTTAATAGCGGTAGATTTCGGGCTTGAAGGGGCCCTCGGAAGGGAGGCCAAGGTACTCGGCCTGGACGTCATTCAGGGAGCTGAGCTCGACATTGCAATGAGCAAGGTGGAGACGAGCGACCTCCTCATCAAGAATCTTGGGAAGAACGTAGACACCGATCTCGAGAGAGCCAGTCTTGGCAAACTCAATGTACTTCTTGCCCCAAGCCTGATCCTTGGCCTTGTAGAGAGCAATCTGAGCAAGGACCTGGTTAGTGAAGGAGCAGGACATGACAAAGGAAGAGTGGCCAGTGGCACAGCCGAGGTTGACAAGACGACCCTCAGCCAGAAGGATAATGTGGCGGCCAGAGGGCATCAAGAAGCGGTCAACCTGGGGCTTGATGTTCTGGACGGAAGTGGCGTTCTTCTTGAGCCAAGCAACGTCAATCTCGATGTCGAAGTGACCAATGTTGCAGACGATGGCATCGTTGGGCATGGACTCGAAGTGAACGCCAGTGAGAATATCACGGCAGCCGGTGGTGGTGACGAAGATCTGACCAATCTTGGCAGCCTTCTCCATGGTGGTAACCTGGTAGCCGGCCATGGCGGCCTGGAGGGCGTTGATGGGATCGATCTCGGTGACGATGACGCGGGCACCCATGCCGTGGAGGGCCATGGCGCAACCCTTGCCGACATCACCGAAACCGGCGACGACGGCGATCTTGCCAGCAATCATGACATCGGTAGCGCGCTTGATACCGTCAATGAGGGACTCGCGGCAGCCGTAAAGGTTGTCAAACTTGGACTTGGTAACAGAGTCGTTGACGTTGATGGCGGGAACGAGGAGCTTGCCGTCCTTGAGCATGCGGTAGAGGTGGTGGACACCGGTGGTGGTCTCCTCGGAGACACCATAGCAGTCCTTAAGCTGCTCAGGGTACTTGGTGTGGACGAGGGAGGTCAGGTCACCGCCGTCGTCGAGGATAAGGTTGAGCTTCTTGTCGTCCTTGAAGGCAGAGAGCTGCTGCTCGAGGCACCAGTTGTACTCGTCCTCGGTCTCACCCTTCCAGGCGAAGACAGGAACGCCGGCGGCGGCAATGGCGGCGGCGGCGTGGTCCTGGGTGCTGAAGATGTTGCAGCTGGTCCAGGTAACCTCGGCGCCGAGGGCGGTGAGGGTCTCGATCAGTACAGCAGTCTGAATGGTCATGTGCAGGCAGCCAGCAATACGGGCACCGGCGAGGGGTTGGTCGGCGGCATACTTCTGGCGAATGGCCATGAGGCCGGGCATCTCATTCTCGGCGAGCTCAATCTCCTTGCGGCCAAAAGCGGCCAGAGAAAGATCAGCGACCTTGAACTTATTGGCGGGAGCAGACATGATGTGTTGTGTGGAGGAGGAGGTAGGTGAAGAATTGATAAAGAGGAAGATATGATGAAAAGGATGGGAATGAAGGAGGAAGAGGAGAGCGAGGGGAAGGGTGAGAGAGAAAAAAATGTCAAGTAGCAGAAATAAGGCGGCGGGACAAAGAGGGGCAACGTCGGATTTCGGTGGTTGAGCAGCGCGGGCGGTGAAACTGTAAGGACAGTGTACTGGCAGGCGGCAGGCTGCGGGCAGAAAATACATGTCACCCAGGTACCGAATGGAGGGGTAAAATTTGCACCGTGTTGCCCCGACAGGGAGCGGAGGCGGGCATGGCGGGGCAAGAATTGACAGACCAATCCGTCACTGTGGCCGGTGCCTGGCAACCTGGCAGCTGATCAAGGTAGATTTTGAGAACTTTACGCCCTTCGAAACGCTTCACTGACTTGACTTTGAATACACCCTGCATCATTTCAGTAATCATAAGACCATCACGATTGATACGGTCGATTTTAGGAGTTAGTGGGCGACTGCGGCATCTTCATTTCGACTGCTCAGCCACAACGTTCAACGTGCCCAGCCCTGGAAGCTCACTGGACCTTCCAATAGCCTGTCGGCCACTCTGGCTTGCTACCTAGGTAGGTAGCTACTTTGGGGACAGGTACCTCCGTTCCTGCCCCAATGCCCAATCTTGGCCTGCATTGTTCCCTCAAGGTACCCGAGTTCGGGACGCCACGAGGCGACAAGCCGAGTATCATGACTGCGACATTAGCATTGAATCCATGCATAATTCAATCAGATATTGTAAAATTTTATATTCCTTGCGAACTTCGACTTTTAGTAAACTTCATACGCCAAGGCACGACCAACCTTGACAACCAGTCTTGGTCGTCGGTCCGAATCGGACATTGCGCGCGTCCAGTATTATTCAACAATGTTTCGCCAGGTTTGTATCCTCGGCTTTACAAGGAGTTCATGAAGGGCACCAAACCTCATCAACGAGGCAACTTGGCGCCAATTTTTGTGCTCTTCAAGAGTAGGCCGTAACTGCCCTTATATTCCATCTTATTCCGGAACGCCGCTAATGCAACACAATCCAGCGTATCTCTATGATTGAGCATGCGCAGCCCTGCGAGACACCTATACCCATCCTTGTGCAGGGCTTTCCCAGTCTATTTGTAAGACCCTCACAACAGATTTACTGGGGCAAGAGATTCTCCCGCACAGCAAACATCTTCGAAGTAATACCAGCCGTGAACCCATCAACCTGCTTGCCGTACTGCTCAACCTGCTTGGCGTTAAGTAAACCCTCCAGACGGCTAGGCTCCTGAGGCAGCTTGAACAGCCTTTGCCACTCATCCTCGGGGAGGAGAGGCTGCTTGGCAAGAGTACGTTGGGCGTTCTCGGCCTTGCGCTTGGCCTGCCACTGTGAAATCTTGGTCTGCTCGCGAGCGAGCTGGCGCTGGTAGAATTGAAAGTTGTTGAGGTCGGTATAGTGCGACTCGATGCTCTCCAATAGCAGGTCACAGGTCTTCTCCAGGTAAGGATCGACGGCAACGTCGAGGTTGTCGATGTTGGGGTAGAGAGGAGCTTGGATGGGCTCGCGCTCGAGGTCCGCCAACGTCGTGGGGCCTTCAAGGTCTTCTTGTGATGGACCGGAGGGAATCTGGTGGAGGAAGGAGGTGAGAAGGTGCGAGTTGTGTACAGTGATGGGGAGCTCAGCAAGGATGTCTTTGAAGGTGAGCTTGGACTTTTGTAGGCTATCTCTTTGTTAGTACACCGTTTAACCGCATTGCGGCGTTCAGACGTGGTGGCATACCTCTCAGTGGTGAATTTGGCCTCCTTGTAGGCATTCATAAAGGTGTTGGTGAGGCGGAATGCGCGCAGACTCAGGTTGCCCTGAGAGCTTCTGCTGGTATCGTAGACGAGAGCAACAGTCTGGCTGTTCTCCTTCTGGTAGAAGTAGAGGTTCTCGATTAAGCTCAAGTTGACAAAGTTTCCCATGGTAGCGCTGGTATAAAAGCCAACATTGTTTGCGTCAATGTTGACCTCCTTGAGGTGGCGGATCATCTCGTTTTGGTAAGTGATATTAGACTTTTGGCGAGGAGCGGCAGCGGCAACCACCTGGGCGGCATCGTTCTGGTGGCTGTCGGTAGCGGACGCGTCGACGGTGGGGAAAGGGAATGTATTTGTGATCTCGAGGAGGTTGTTCTGGTCCATACCAACAAGAGCACCTGTGGCCATGCTGGGAAAGTTGGTCGAGCAGTGCTTCGCGATCTTCATAACCACCTACAGTCGCAGACAGGGTTAGCGGGCTGAGGGGGATACGGCGACGCGAGGTGGGGCATGAAGCAACTCACGAGAGCTTCGACCTGCAGTGCCTGAGCAGGCGCGTCGATGGTAGTATCGGCCATGATATCGGATTTGGAGTGTATGTCGTGCGCTGGCCGTATGTGATGCTGAAGGGGAGGAATCCGGGGCGCTGTACGTGGGCTGCGAAGAGTTGACCGTGTTCGCTGGCGTGGGCGTGGAATATCGAACTTTTTCGCTCTGGTTGGATTTGTGGGTGGTTGTGGGTGGAAGTCGGTCAGGAATGGCAGAATGCGGGGCGTTATGTTTTGCGTCGTCCGCCGCCCAAGCGTGGGGATGTCAACGTACACCTTCCATCATCACCAAGGCCTTAGAGGCGTCGATTTATTCTTCAGCACTGCCGAGGTATTGTGCCCAGCATCAGTGTCCTCAGTGCTAACGTCTTTGGAAAAAATGTATTCTCTATTTTAAAAAGCATCTATAGCGATAGCTAGGGTTTTTGACGAATTTATTTGCGCTCTGCACGCAATTCAACAACCCCAAGCTTTCTCTGTTGCAAAAAAGCCGCGTTTGAAATCATGAAATAATGGCGTCGCCAAAAACGATTCGCAGCAAACCAAACCAACTCCAGAGAATTGTCAAAAATTCTGTGCTCCGCTAGGAAAAAAAATCCTTCAGAAAATGCTCACAATATCGCAGTCTCACCGCTCAAGCGTCATCGGTCCAAGGAACAATCTCCCACTCCTCAGCATTGTTGCGGATGGTCAGACGGTGCTGGTCAATTTTCCAATACGCATATAGCGATCGGGTAGACATGGCAGCTTTTCTGTGAGCGGGACCACGCCCGCCAGCGACTGCATCTTCCTTGGAACGCCAGAGGCATGTGGCCAAGTTACGAAGCTCCGAGTCCGGAGAGCCAAACCAGTACCTGCGGAATGTCAGTTCTACCAGTGCCATATACGAAGGGCAGCCGTAGCCCACCGCGGTCACTTAGACCGGAGACGAGAATGTTGCGTGTGACATACTTGAGAAATCCGCCACTTTCGATGGCTTCGAGATGTGCGGCCTTGTCGAGCTCACCCAGGTGGCTGTAATCGGTACTCGGCTTGATTTGCGAGCGGAATGCGACAATGTAAAAGGTGGCGTCCTGGTACCGCTGGCCGTATATGCTCACGAGCGTTTTGAGACGGGCCATGACATCTGTCCAGTTAAACGACTCGACGTACGGCGCAATGGCATAATCATCGCGGGTTGCATCGACGGTGCTCAATGCCTTGGCCAGTAGCGCATTCTCATAGTCGAGCGTTGTCAGATCCAGTTGGTGCGCAAGCTCGGTGTACGGAGATTGGACGATGAAGCGTGGCTCGCTCCATGGCCGGACATCGTCGAGACTACCTTCGGATATGTCTCTGGCAAGTTTGGGGGGCTCGCTAGGAAGAAGAGTTGCTACTTCTGGAGCCATGAGTTGGACACGGATTGGATGCGGTTGTTGGAAACGGCTGGTACTAATGTTGATGTGCAGATGCAACACACCGCGACGAGAAACGAATATTTCAGTGGTCGTTGTTGCCAGGGCGTCGATCAGGCGAGGCAAAAAATGGAAAAGAAGTTCAGAATCGAATCGCACATATGGTGGGCAGCTACGAGTGTGGGTGGGGGAAAGGGGAAAAGGGAACGATGTCGGTGAAGCAGGCTGAAAGGCCACGGCTTTTGACCTCGACGCGAACCGGAGACATGCCGCCGAGAGTTCCAGTCATGCACCAATGCGGCCAACATTACTACGAGACGGGCGGCGGGACTGGTGTGGATGAATAATGTCGAGGGGTCTGAAGCCCCACGACTACACGAATTGAAGAAGGGGGTGTGCAAATTTGAGTATGAGGCAGTTGGGCAGGGTGATTTCGCCATTTTGCAAGATCGGCGCTACTGAAAAGGCAAACGAAAGGGACCACTTGGGCTTTGACCGTCTTGTCAAGGCTTTCGAGTTCGGGAGCACCGCCGAGTGCCGCTGGCGTGTGGCGCCGATACCGATGGCCATGGGGCTTCAGCCTACGGGGTCAGCGAGAAAGGGAAGAGCACGTTGGAACTTTGGGAGAAGCCAAGGCCCGAAGGCGGAGAGACAGCTGATGGCGTGCATTGGTGTTTTGGAAGGCGAGAGAGAGCCTAGGCGAATCTCGAATCGAATGGATAGGGATCTTGAGTAAAGGGCCCAAAGAAATTGTGGCTGTTTGATTCAAAGAAAATTTCGATCAGATGAAACCCTTTGTGAAGGAAACCGGGAGGTACTGGAGCCACGCCAGTCCATGACTACCTAGGTAGGCTGCACGGGGCGACTTTTGGTCGGCAGAAATGATGTGACAGCCATCAGTTCCACCTATCTGTTGGCGTGCGTTTAATGTTGACTGTGCTTTCTTCCCCGTTAGCGCACATGGTTTGGTGGTCCCTGGATGACACCATCTTGGGCCGAGAGTGCTCATCGCTTCTGCGCCCGCTCATACCCGCGTCCGCTAAATAACGGCTGCATTACGACGCAACCCGTTTGCCACATGTGGCATGCCTAGGTACGGATACTTATTGAGCAGACGCCCCCGGAATGTTCTATTTTGACGACTAAGCTGATGGTAGAACCCGTTCCTGTCAGTCCAGTCACTGAATGTGATGTGGTCGCATTTCCGTCACATCTGCTGCAGCACATCCTTTTCACTGAAATTAGACTTATCTTTTGCCGTGTGGCTTGGATCCTTCAGTCACGCACTGCAGCCAGGCCCAACTCTGCGATCATTGCCTGTTGCATATCATATTGCTTATGGCCTCCAGCTGTAGTTAATATCCACTAACTTGATCAGGAGGCTTTTTCGCGCTGATGAGATATCGCCATCTATCGGCTGCTTTCAAATCACCTTGCTATTCAACCCGACTCATCTCTCTGGACATGTTTTCTTACCTGCATCCTTGCCACCAGTCAACCAAAGCTTTGCAGCGTCATACGTCCCGAGATACAATCCACTACCAACTGCGGTCCACGTTGACCGCAGGCCGCCGCCTCGAAACAAGCCCCTCGTTCCACTCTCAGCAAAGACTTGCCTTGCCACTCGCCAAGGCTGCTGCTCCGGCGACATTTGATTTCTGCGGCTCTGATCTACAAGGTCGCTATCTTTGGTACTCCCCGTCAAAAGCATCATCCGAGTCTTGACTACGTCGCTGGGGGTCGTAATGAAAGCCGCGATCGCCCCGGCAGTGGCCGCACTCGCCCCCGCGATCACCCCGGTCTCCAGTATCCGCTGGTGCCCCGGCTCTCGTGGCAGCCTTGTCGCCCATAACCGGGAACGTAAATGCTCGAAAATTGGAAACTGCATGGCTGTCAGAGGCAAATTACGCGCCAGCAGCGCTGTGTAGCCTGTGAAGAGCCGTCGCCCGACGCCGGCTTCGTACAAGCTGCGAAAGGCTTTCAACGATGTCGAGCCAGTATTTTCGCCACCTTGCGACCTCATCATCTGTGCGTGCTGCTTGACCAGCTCTGCAGGTGTAAGCACCAGGCAAGAGGCCGCCTCGGCCATTGTAGAAGCGGCAGAGTGTACCACTGGCAAGGGCACCAGCGATAGTTTCGAGATTGACGTCTTGCCCAGTTCGTAGGTGGAAAAGAAGACACCGGCTGTAGTTGATTCGTATCAGTCGCTGGACAAGTCGTGCTTGAACAAGAGCCATCGAATTGGAGCTTACCTGCGGGCAACGTAGCCAAGACGACGCTTCCGATACCTTGGTATAATCCTCGCAAAGCCAGCGCGTTATTTTTGCCGCCTTGTGTGTAGCTTTTGAGGTAGTCTTGACTCTGCCGTCTCGTTTTCAGGGTATCGAATGGGTATATTAGCATGTCTACCGTAAAGGCAGCAAATGCGCCCGCCTAATGCGCATCAGCCATTGCACCGTTCCCTCGGTTTAAGAGATCGGAGCACACGTACCAGGTAAACATCCATCGCGTTGAAATCAATAAAGTCTTGAAACGCATAGAAAGTTCTTTTTCAAGGTGTCGGGTCTACGTTGACACTGTGGCCGATGCACCAGTATTTGTTGTAGAATGGACTAGACTAGACTGCAAGTTGCATGACATCATGAAAACGGCATCCGATCCCACCGACAGGCACAAGGGGCCCTTTGGCTAGTGGACCACGAATCAATCGCTGTAGTGTTTCGCAGAATCGATTCAATTAATTGTCGACATGATGCTTGCTTTGACAGACAATCAACACGTGGCCCTGGTGCTCCCATTGTCACTGTGAAGATGCGAGAAAATACATCATAAAAAGCCTGTGCTTTAGTTTTTGTTAGATGGTTTCCTTTGGAAGAGGAAACCTTTCCAGATACCACCTAACAGTCTCCTATTAAGAAAGGAAAAAGTGTAACAGTAAGAAAAGAGGAGTAAGTGCGGGAACGTTGCCAAGCCGTTCGAATACTTGCGTCTTGTTTCTTTAATGCCCAGCCGTCTAAAAGTTCTAAATAGCCCAAGAAAAGAGCCTTGCACAGCGAAAAGGAAAAAAGGAAAAAGGGGAAAAAAAACAAAACAAAACAAAAAACTCCCAAATGCTCAAGAAGACGGCAATTCCTAATATATAGACAGACAATGAAAAAAAAATGGAAACCCACAAAAGAGAAAGTCGTAGACCCTGCTCCAGCTGATGGCTTGATTACTATCACAGCTTGCTCGGGGTCGACACCGGATCCTCAACCACAACGACGGCAACGACGCAAATATCGTCAATCTTGCCGCCATGCCAGTTCTCCTGCGGATAGTACTTTTGCACCTCTTTAGCAAAGGGCCCATCCTGCTTCGTGTTTACGCTCGCGCGCTTGGCGGCGAGGACCAGCTCCGTGGCGAGGAGGCTCTGCAGGGTAACGGTGCGCTCCGACTGCTGCTGCTGCTGCTGCTGCCTTGTGTTGCCGCCTCGGGACTGGGCGAGCTTGATGGGGCTCCGGACAATGGCGTCGAGGTTCTCAGCGACCTGGATCTGGCCGGCATCGCCGACCGTCCAGGCGCCGGTGGAGCCCATGACGCGGCTCGCGACGCGGAGCACGTCCTGGTTGAAGAGATTGTCAAGGACGCCGTCGGTAGCGAGGACGAGCACGTCGCCATGGCGCAGGCGGTGGCTGGTGACGTCGGCGTCGCGGGGCAGGTCGCTGAGCTGGGTGCCGCCAAAGGCGGCCATGCGCGCGGCGACGCTGGGGGGCACAATGGACAGCTGAAAGGGCGTGTTGAAGGCGTGCGTCTGCGGCTCCGAGTAGCTGTGCACGGCGTTGAGGCGCAGCTGCAAGAAGCCCGAGTCGCCGAGGTTGGCAATGTCGAGGCGGCCGTCGGGCGAGGCGACGGCGACACAGGCGGTACTGCCGCCCGCCAGGACCGTCTTGTCGGCGCAAATGGCATCGTAGCCAAGCTGCATGAGCTTGCGGGCGGAGAGGGAGTTTGCGGGAGTTGCTGCTGCGGCGGCGGGTTGGTGCTCCCATGCGGCCGAGGCCATGTAATCGCAGAAGCCGTGGGAAAAGTCGGCCGGGTCGACGCCCGAGTCGACCCAGCCGCCCACGCCGTCGGCGACGCCAAAGGCGACGGCGCCGCCCGTCTCGTGGACGCGCGAGGCGAAGAAGGCGTCGTGGCCGGACTCGGGCCGGGAGGAGCGCCGGCGGTGCCGCGGCGGCTGTATCCGATTGTAGGCGTTGAAGTGGAAGACGTGCGTCGAGGCGTCAAAGGGGCGGTCCTTGGCGATGAAGGACGCGGCAATGTTGTAGGAGAAGCGCGGCGGCTTCTTGGCAGAGGTTACGGAAGAGGGGGATGCGGAGACGGCGGAAGAGGTGGCGGAGGAAGCAGCGGAGGAAGGAGTCGAGGAGAACGCGGAGGAGGATGAGGAGGACGAGGACGAGGACGAGGACGAGGACGAGGACGAGGCAGAATAGGGTCGATGAGGCATGGTGGCTGTCGCTATCGTCGTCGTGGATATCGCTGTGCTGTGTTTTGAGAAGGAGGACAGCGGCTGAAGAAGCCGCGCGCGCGCCGCCGATGCTGTGCGACTAGTCAGCATATTGTGCAAGGGCATCGTGCGCAAAAAGAGGTATACACAGCAGGCTGCGCGCAAGACCAGACATTCGAAAATGGGAGAGACGTACCATGCACTGGCGGATACAACGGCGTCGCAATGGCGAACCGGGCAGACGCTGCCGCCATGGAAGATAGAAAAGTGACGTAAGGGAAACTCGAGGCAATCTGTCCAGTCGAAGCAAAGACCGAGAGCCGCTTGCTGCTGTGAGCTGGATGAAGATGATCCTCGAGATTCCGAGTCGCTCGCGTGGATGAGGGCTTTCGCTAATTTAAAAAAAAAAAAAAAATAGAAACAAAAAAAAAAAAAAGTTGTGAAACCGATGTTAGCCTTTGCCGCGGGCTCGGCCTGTCATGATCCGCCTACCTAGTCAGTTTTTTTTTTCTCCCTTTTTTGCCATTTCTTTGTTGGTGGAGTCTGGCGCCTCAACCGTTTTCTTTAGGCATTACATAAGATCAAACGAGAAGAGGTCGACGAGCAGATGAACGGCCAGGTGACTGACTGACATTTGGTAGAGACGACATGTTATGATGGGTTTGGAAAGTTAGCAATCAAGGTTCAATTGGCCAAGATTGATATGGTGTTGCTGTTGTTTGCAAGTGCGCCGGAGCAAATGGTTGTAATTTCCGGCCAGGCGCGGGGTCAAGATGTCGGTTGAAAGAGGAGGAGAAGAGGGCAAAGTATCTTGGAGGGATATTTACAGCAACAAAACGTTTCCATGCAAGGAAGAAAAAGACGGCAGAGAATTCTGAATGTTGTTGCGGCCTCAGGTTTGGCGCCTTGTTTATCAGATGCACACAGCTCCCAGACTGACGGCAGCTGTGGGTAAAGCAGTAATTACGCAAAAATACAGAGCTAATCAATTCTATGACGGACACGGATAGGCAAGCACAGAACAAACACACAATTCACATTGCTACCGAGATGTGTCCACCACCATGCAGCATTTTTTCTGGTGTGGCCATGACTTGTAATGCCCCTGCTCTGCAGTCTACCTTTGCCGACTCCTACCAGTAGTTATTTAGTTATATAACCTCTTTACGAATATAGCAAAGGCTTTCAGCTGGCCGGATACGAGATGCGGCGCTGGGTTCAACAACGACAACGACAACGACAACCTTGCAGCCACCCTCGACGCCATGTTTTGCTGCAATACGAAAGGGTCCTGCATTGCAACCTCTGACTAGACTTCAGCCGAGACGCGCCACTTGCAGCTAGCACCGAATGAGTCTATTTGCGCCAGAACCCCTAATAAGTTATAACTACAAGTAGTTTGGGGGCCTAGGGGCCCTGGGGTCCTGGATTGACGCTAATTATAGTCAAGTCAAGTCGACTCTCTGGGGAACTTTAATCAAGATGACCAGGCTCCAATCGTGCCTGGAACACTCCCTGTTCAACATAGTTATCCAGGCCTATTTATTCGTACAAGGTCCTCCTCGACAATGAGGCTTGCCGCCCGTCTGATGCACTCGTATTTTGACTACGGATTATTTTCAGCCAAATTGCATGGCTGTCGGCAGCTGCAGTTTTCACGCCTTCCAGGTAGGAGCGAAAAAAAAAAAAAAGCATTATTTTGCCAGCTGGCTTTGGGTTGGTGCTTGCATGTCAAAGCGTCCGTCTCTGCTCAAAAGCCAAGTCTCTTTTCCAAGGAGATTTCTGCAAGCTAGTGACTTGTTTGACTTTTTTTTTTTTTTTAGAGAGGTGTGCTACTTACATGAACTTGTTGAAAGCATGGCCTGCAGGACATGTATCCTTGGAGATGTAGAAACAAGCTTTCGGAATGACGCGCAGCCCGACAGCCCGAAAATGGCAGCACCATGATGACTGACTGGGCTGGTTCAGCTGGTTGACCTGATTTTGTTTTGCTCCTGTGCCTCGTCGACTATCTCGTTTGACATGGCATCTACGAAGTGATCCATGAGTATAATAACTATACGTCACAATCCTTTCCCGGAGCCATCTTTCTCTCGCCATGATTTGCCCCCCCCGCAAACAACGTCACGATTCTCGTGTTTCCCAAACACATTTGCATGTTTTCGCCAAAAATTTAGGCCTCGGCTAGTGTAGGGCTGGCTGCCTTGTTGTTATAATTAGTGTCTACCCTACGCTTGTGATGCAGCCATCGACGCCTCATCACTACAAGCTGGGTCGTTCTTCTGACCTAGTTGCCAGGCCAGACCCTGCTCCCCATTGCCAGAACCTCCTCATCATCCACTCCATTGTTTTGATGCTATTTTCTCTTTCGAGATGGGGGGGGGGGTCAACTCAATCTACGCGACTTTGTAATCTCTAACCCAATTGGTACCTTTGAATTTCTCGTAACAATTGGCCCCCTCCACTTCAGTGCATCTTGCCTTCCCCCCCTATGCCAAGAACAAGTTTGCGCTCGGCCTCGACCCCAAGAATATCGAGCGTGGACGAGCCAGTGTTGTTGCGGACACGGAGTGGCGCATCGCTTGTACTTATAGTCGCATGATTATCCCTTCCTTTGTACTTCTTTTTTTTTCATATCGCAATCAGCATTGCTAGTAATTCTTTCATGCTTTCAAGTCTGGAATTGTTTGTGCTGGCATCCAATTGTACAAGTCGATTTAGCTTACACCATACAGCTTAAACGCCAACGACGACTCCCTTGTTCAAGATGATGACCAAGGTTTCTGCTCTCGTTTCTTTTGCGGCCCTTGCCGGTGCGAATAAGAATCACGGCGGCGCTTGCACCATCAAGACCATCACGACCTCCACCGCGTATCCTCCCACGACTACCTCTACCTCCGATAATTGCAGCACGCGCACCGTCTGCCTCGACTATGTGAATGAATGTGGTATATGGTATGGCGGGTATGTTTCTTCTTACAAACTTCCCACTATCATTTGCTGTTCTGGTCTTTTACTAACACCAAATTATCAGATGCGTACCTGATTGTAAGCCTTGGCCGACCTTTTCCAAGCCTCCTTGTCCCTCGACAACGGGCAACACCATCACGACCACCACCGCGTACCCTCCTACGACTACTTCCTCCTACGACAATTGCAGCACGCGCACCATCTGCCTCGACTATGTGAATGAATGCGGTATAATGTATGGCGGGTAAGTCGCTTTCTTGCAAATTCAACTCACGCTTGTTGTTTTAGTTTTCACTGACACGAAAGGATTAGATGTGTACCTGATTGCAAGCCTTGGCCGACCTTCTCCAAGCCCCCGTGCCCTTCGACAACGAGCACTCCCATCATCATCACGGCTACTCCTACCGCGAACACCAGCGAGGATGACTGCCACAAGCATACCATTTGTATCGATCACGTCAATGAGTGTGGGATAATGTACGGCGGGTAAGTCTCACCATATTGGAATAACCATGCATGTCTTTTTTCGCGGCTAACATCTTGGTCTAGATGCGTTCCTGCTTGCAAGCCTTACCCAACCTTTTCCAAACCCCCATGCCCGTCGACGACAACTCTTATTACAAGCCTTACTACACCGTATTCTGTATCGGTTTAAAATTTATTCTCAAGCCTGATTGCTTCAAAAAAATATATCAGAATGCAGAGTCAGCGGGCCAGTGATTGACGAATCATGTTTCTGTTTCGTCTGTGTTGTACAGAAAGTATTTTCTTACTCTCGTCTTATGATTACAGTAATGAAAATCTCAGAGTGTTTCGGAAGACATTTTGCTGGTAAAGTACTCAGTAATATAAACTTGCTGTTGTCCGACCGCCAGAGTAATCGGCTCCAGGATAAGCTCCTGGTGGGTTTGACGGTAATGGCTCATCAGCGTCGGAGCTCAAGTCGCCATCCAGGTTATCCTCGCGCTCTGGTGGCACTCTCATGGCATCCAGCATATCTAAACCTAGCGATGGTGGCGAGTACGGCTTTATAGTATGTATATCGCGCCCAGAGGGCATCTTTGGCAGTAAAGTAGCCGGCGACGGTACTGCTTTTGTGTTCATCTGGATACAATATCAGCGCGAGAGTGCATATTGTGCCATGTATGCTGTGTGTGACATCTTACCGTATCATTAATCTTGCTCCATTTTGCATCCAGTAGCTCCAATATTCTCGTCTCCTCGAGCTTGCCTGCATCCGAGCCCCAGGCAGAGCCATCGCCGTCCACCCTGCGATCTTCTCTGCGTTCCTTGAACTCCTTTTTTAATCTGCCAAATCCCAATCCGCCGCTATTCTTCTTGCTCTTTTCCGAAACATCGACTCCCACCTCCTGGAGGCCTGCGCGCGCCCAGCCGATGCCGTCCGCAGTCTCGCCGCCCAGCTCTGCGTCGATGCCAAAGAAGCGGCAAGCTTTGGCGCGGCTTGTCCGTCGCAAATCCTCCATGTACTTTATTAAATGCGGGCTGATTTTGCTACTGATTCCTGGAGCCGCGACACCGCTCTGGCACAGCGCGACGGCCTTTGCAGCGTGTTCAGACGCGGCCAGGGCGAGGCGCGCAAAGAGATGGGCCCGCACTTTGGGGATGTCGGGCGCCTTGTACATCCACTCCGTGTCGTTGACGTTGCGGTCCTGCGCCACGGCAGCGGGGTATGGATCGTCTTTGAGAATGGCGAGAAGAGTTGCCTCGGCCAGCGCAAGCGATGACATTGCTCTGGCTGTCGACGGACTAATGTCAACACAAGGCGGCGGCGGCGGCGGCCCTTGGGGCGCTGCGGTCGGCGTTTCGCTTCGGCGCGCAATATAATCATAGATGGAGGCGACCTCTAGAAGATGCTTCGTCGCCGTCGTAATGGCTGTCGTGCGCTGCTGTGCGCCGAGCACACTGCCCGTCGTCGAGTACAGCGGCTGCAGACAGGCTCTCGCCGTCGCGACCTGGGCAAACGCCAGCGTCGACAGCACAAAGCATACCTCGTGCTCCAGGCTCGCAATCTTGACGCGCGCGCGCTCCCGGCCCGGCACGACCTCGCCCGAGAGCGTGGGCCGCCACTCGATGCGCGGCGCGTTTGTAGCCGTCACCGCGACGAGCTGGCCGGTCGCGCCGACCGGCCGACGCGCCAGGCCGGCCTCGATGGCGAGGAGATATGGGAGGTAGGCGTCAATGGCGGACACGATGCTGCCGAGGTTGGCGTTTTGCGCGCTGACGCCGAGGCGCTTGTGTTTCTTGAGGGCGTCGCGGACGACGCCGCGGTAGGTGCTGGCGCTGAGGGGCAGCGAGGGGTGCGAGTCGCTGGTAAAGGCGTTGGAAAAGGCAAAGGCCGATGTTGTCGGGAGCACAAACGGGTAAGGCATTTTGTTTGGATTAGAGAAAGGGTTATCGAAAGGACCCCTTTTTTGCCGGAGGCAAAGTCGCTGATGTCTTGAAACAAAGTGTACACCTTGATGTCAAGCAATGTGAGCATCGGAACCCCGCCAGAGCTTGGCTGCGGGGCATCTTGGCTGCGTTTGTGTTGGCAGAGCTACGTCACTGGCACCTAGCTATAGAAGACTATTTGCGTAGCACAATAAAATTGTATTCCAACAAATTGCCTATTAGAGTTTCGACTCTTGAATCGTTGATGCTGGCGACAGTCCGAGCCAACGTGTGTTTTTGTGACGGAGACGATGGCTTACACGGTCTCGCACACCGCAAGTAATGCTGTATGGAAAGGGTACAAGTTGAAGGGAAGCAATTGAATGTACATGTATAGAATAGGATAAGAAATTGTTCAATCTTTTACATCTTGACACGGAGAATCTGAGCTCGAAGCCGTCTGTGGCTTGCAGTTTGTCTCGGTCTCTCTCTCTCACACACACAAGCATAAACGGACTCTCATGCATCGGTGCCTATTTTCCCTACGGAAATACGGACCTACGTTGGCCACACACACACACACACACATCTGCGACATACACATTGAGGGCAGCTGTGGGTTCGGAGGGGCCTTTTATGCTTCGCAACGTGGCCATCTGCCTTGGCGGCAGATGGAGGTTGGTTCAAGTTTGGTGGGTGTTCTGTGTGTCCGATGGGCACGAACCAGGCGTGCCTAGATGGGGAGCAGCAGGAACAGAAATGGCGGCTTTTTTTTAGTTTCTGAAATATACTTGAATCATATTCCTTTTGAGGCATGCCCCTTTGCACCGATCAACTTTTCATAGTGGCACAAGGGGGGCATTCGCCCATTATCTGATTCGTGCGCCAAATGTCAAAAAGGTACTCAACCGGGGGCTCGGTTTGGCCAAAAACTTGGCCAAACACCTTGATGTGCCCGTTGAAAAATCTATTCAAAACAACTAGTCTCGATACAACAGGAAAGTTGAGTTTCTGAAGAATTTTGGCCTCGAGTCCGAGGTTTGTGGGATATCATATCGGGGACGAGCCAAGCATCTTGTCCCGCGGCCGGCAACTAACGTCAACTAGCAAAAAAGCCTTTTGTGTGACACGGCTGTTCCCTTGTTGAGCCAAGGCAGAAATGAGGAGCGACATGAAAGTGTCAGCATCCGGCAGCCAGTGGCAGGGATACACCTCTGCAGGCCGGAAGCTGCACTCTTCAGCTCTTCCAAATGAATACGACTTCCGACGCGGGCGCATTATAAGTATATTTATTCGGCTATAGCTGAGTAAAATGATTTAAATAAATGGAAAAAGACATGAGATGGATGTACTTTTTCAATCAACATGCCGGTCTTGGCATCAGCCACAAAACCCATCAAGGTTGCTTGTTTGCTCCATGGACTGATTTAAGCTTAAATTCCGGTACCAAAAATCTAGGCAACAAACAATTTTTATTTTTTTTTGAGCAGGGTACAGCAAGGGCTCTGGGCAAGGGAGGGGCCGTATTCTGAGCCAACAAGTAATCAGCTTGAGCAAGATTCTCGGATCCAGCTGCCTGGAACGGAGGGGGAAGTGAAGTACCAACTGGTAAGCCGGTTGTGATGCGTGATGCCTTGGGTGTCCGACGCGGCTGGAGTGGATCTACTGGCAATAATATGTATGTAAATCAAGCCATCTACGCCAAGACTTCAGCCCCAATCTCGGCCAAAAGATCAAGGTGTGCAGCCGTGTTGGGACGTCTAAACGATGCGATGTTGCGTCGCATTACATCTGTTGGACGAATTTATTATGAACTCAATTAATTAAAAAGAAAAGAGAAAAGCCTCAAATGCGATGCACGTTTTCTACGAGTGCATCTGGGCCAACCGGCGTGCCCCCCCGCTCGGTGACCTGCATGATTCGCATGTTGGTGTGTGTGCAACACCACAAAGGTTCTCACGAGGCGCCTTGGCGGAGCAACCAAGCCAGAGAAACCTGCATTTTATCGTTTCTATACAAAGAACAGTGGCTTGAGGCGGGGGGCGCCATCCTATCAGGGGGGTCGCGAAGAAAAGCATAACCTGCGAGTAAGTAAGTAACTAGCATCCGAGCCGGCACCCAGGTATAAAAACCGCCCACCAGCCCAAGTGCAGAGTTTGTTTACTCTTTTCCCCTCTCTGTACGCTGATCAATCACTATTTTTCCGTCGTTTACCTGTTCAAAGATGCAGTTCAAGTCGCTCGCTTACGTCCTGCTCGGCCAGTCGGCCCTCGTGGCCGCCCAGTCGGGTACCACCTCTGCCAGCCAGGCCGCCGCTACCTGCGAGCCTCACGAGGATCACTGGCACTGCCCGGCCGGCGTTCCCCAGCCCTCGCTCAACCCCGACGGCACTCCCAACCCCAAGGCGACCCAGGGCGCCGGCGGCGGCGATCATGATCATGATGACGATGACGACCATGATCACCACAGTGCTAGCGGAACCGCCACGGCGACTGCTACCGCGACTGCCACTGCCACTGCCACGGCGACTGCCACTCCTACCACGACCGTGACCGGGTCTGCGTCCAGCGCCACCACCACCTTGGCCACCTCCACCACCGTCGCGACTGGCCCCAACGGTTGCACTCCTCACAATGACCACTGGCACTGCCCGTCGGGCGTGGCCAAGCCCACCACTCCTCCTCCCGGCTACACGCCCAAGTCATCCACCACCGCAAGCGTCAGCGCCAGCCGCAGCGCTAGCGGCAGTGCCGCCCCCTCGTCCACCCCCGTCGCCGCGGCTGGCAGGGCTGGACCCCTCGGCGCCGCCATTGTCGTCGGCGGCAGCCTCTTGCTCGGCGCTGTCCTCCTGTAAAGCACTCACAAAGATGCGGATGCGGGGCGGGGAAGGAATTAATGTACAAGAAACGTCGGACTAGTCATGGTTAATTCATCAGGCACAATGTGTGGCCACCATCACATGTGTAAAACAGGGGGTGGTGGACAGAGGTACATGGCTGTGTATCAATAGACATGACTGTAGCAGAATGCGAATCGAAAGAGTCACCTGCCCCACGAATACCGAGCGTGCAACGGCCGTGATGTAAGTGTACACGAGGCATCGTAGACAAGGGCGTACCGGTTCATGCACGATGGGATCAATGACGAGCATCGGATCATGCCGGCTGCGACACTGGCCCAACAACGGTCGAGGGAGCCTCGCGGAAGAGGCGTCCGCGAACCTTGTCAGGGGCAAAGCAGTGAATCAAAGGGTCAATGTCATTCGAAAAGGTAGACTCGACCTGAGGTGCCGACACGCGCAAGTGAGTGAGTCAATGGTGGTTGTCGAGTGACGGGGGAAGTGTGGTCACGGGTCGTGGCGGGATGAACAGGTGGTGGTGCGGACAGGCATCGGTAATGTGTGGCAGCGGGTGGAAAAGAGCAACGTGAGATGGTATCTGCTGTTTTCTGGTGGGAGAGGAAAACTGGCGGTTGGAGAAGAGAAGCAGTCGTCTGCCAAGGTCAGTCGATGCCACCATGGGGAGGGAAATGAGGACGATAGACTCGGCTCCACCATCAAGTAAGCGAGCCAGCAGGTTGATACCATGAGATAGTACGGACAGAGAAATTCAAAAAGTATGCGGAATACTTGGAAAATAGCAAGAAAATACTATAACATATGATGTAGATAATCTGATTATCTTTTGCTTTAATTAGTTAGTTTTACGGGATACATAGAACACTTTTCTACTCATCATCAGCCCAAGTTGCAGGCAGGGCCCGTCTCCACCAATAACAATGCGCCGTCGTTTCTCCATGTAGCCCCAGCTGAACCCTTGCAACCTCCAGATCAAAGAAAAAAGGAACCACATGAACCAGTTCAGCTCCCGTGAGCAACACAACGCCCCAAGCTTTTTTTCTACCAGCATCTCTCGGCTGACTTGTCCTTGCCAATCCAGACAAGCAAAACAGTCACCCTACTTGAGCGCGGGCTAGAAATTGCACGCACCCCGACAACGACGACGACGACGACCACCACCACCACCCAGTCTCCTATATAACCTACCCAACACCAAAACTCGTCCGCTGCCCGAGAAGCCGCCCAACATGTCTAAACAATCCATCGCCATGATTGCCGCTATTAGTGCCGGAGGCGGCGCCGCCCTCACCGCCGCCGTCTACTCATTACGTTCCAAGTCCGAATCCCAACAACAACAAACGCAACCCACGCCCACGACGCCAGGCCTTCCCGGCGCCTATCCCCCTCAACCTCCCATCACCGCCCTCGGCGCGCCTCTGCCCACCGCCGCCACGCTCGCCAACCCAACCGCGCCCGTCAACCCTTCTGGCCTCTTCGAGTACGGCTTCCCCGGCCCCGTCGCCGACGTGGCCGCGCGCTCCGCCCTCATCTCCAGCTACGACCGCCGCACGCGCAACCCGCACTGGGTCGCCGAGCACATCACGCCGGCCTCGCTCGCGCGCCGCGAGGCCGACCGCAAGCACAGCGTCTTCCTCGAGGACCCGTCCATCCCCGCCAACTTTCGCGCCGGCCTCAAGGACTACTTCCGCAGCGGCTACGACCGCGGCCACCAGGTGCCCGCCGCCGACGCCAAGTGGTCCCAGCAGGCCATGGACGACACCTTTTACCTCTCCAACATGTGTCCGCAGGTCGGCGAGGGCTTCAACCGCGACTACTGGGCCCATTTTGAGGATTTCTGCCGCCGCCTCACCGTCCGCTACCCTTCGGTCCGCGTCGTCACCGGCCCGCTCTACCTGCCCCGCAAGGACCCCGTCGACAACAAGTGGTACGTAAAGTACGAAATGATTGGCAGCCCGCCGTCCGTCGCCGTGCCTACGCACTTTTACAAGGTCATCTTTGCCGAGGACGGCAAGGCTGGCGGCAACGTCGCCCTCGGCGCCTTTGTCCTCCCCAACGCGCCCATTGACAACGCCAAACCAATCACCGACTTTGAGGTCCCCGTCGAGGCCGTCGAGCGCGCCAGCGGCCTCGAGTTTGCCTCCAAGCTGCCCGCTCAGCGCCGCAAGCGTCTCTGCGCAGACACCACCTGCGCCCTCGTCATCAAGGACTATGCCGACAGGCAAAAGGCCTTTGCCAAGGGTGGTGACAAGCGCGCGCTGCCGCCTCCGCAATAGTGACTGGTGTGTTTTGCTCCGATGGTGTTTAATTTGGGTGTCTTTTTGTATCATTTTTATTCCCGTGTTTGGCTTGGTCTTTTTATTACCGTCCTTCATGTTCAAGCTCTTCTTCTAAAGCAGAATGAGACAGATGGGCCCAAGGAACATAGACCGTTGCATATTTGTATATTAACTTAGCACTTTGCATAGCATGAACTTACATGCTGCATAGCCATGAGTAATCCATTTGTTTTCCATTTGTCAACTTTATCTATTAGCGATTGGCAGTCAACAGAATTGTATGCAAGTAGTCGCTGAATTAAATGATAGCATATCGTTTGTGAAAGAGGGGATGTGCAGAATCGTTGCTGACTGCGCAGAGTAATGTATAGGTGGCTGGCCGCCGTCAGAGGAGCTCCACCCCGATGATGGCATCAGCAAGTGAAGCGACAAACACTTTCGCCAAGATCCTTTGGCAAGGAAATCTATTTGTCTGATCTAAAATACATACTATATACTTGTAATGGGTATACATAGGGCCATGGTCCAGCCCAGCTCTATAATGCAGCTTCTAAACTCCGTCATGCCAATGCCCATGCTCGCTCTAATGCAGCAGGATGTCGTACCCGTCCTTGGTGATGCGCACCTCGTCGGCGCCGAATCCATACTTTCTGCGGATAAGCTCAAAGATGATGAGGCCAGCACTCGTGCTCGGCACTTGGCGGATCGCGTTCCACCAGAAGCCCCGATACAGCCAGCGACTCAGCGATACGCCGTCTGCGGCGGCCTCGGCGGCGCAGCCGGCCAGCGTTTCCTGGTAAGCTCGGTAGTACGCACGCATCATGCGGAACCGCGGCGCTTTGCTACTGCTGCTGCCCGGGCGCGCGGCGGCGGACGCGCGATAACGCTCTGCCTTGGCGTCGAGCTCCTCTAGGTGATCCCAGTGTTTGACTTGAAAGTGCGTGAGAGGGTGCAGCAAGACCTGCTGCGCAAAGGAGGCGCTGATGCCGGCCGCGAGGAGAAACATGGGCTCGATGGCGTAGTGCGGCCGGATAATGGTCGTCGCGCCCTCGTCGCCGGACGCGGCAGCGGCGGCTGGGCGTTTTGTAGCGAGTAGGTCGACAATGTCCTTGCCGAGGCCGCCGTAGTACCACGTCACGAAGCGGTAGTAGCCCTGCGCCTTGACGTACTCAAAGACGCTAAAGAAGACGGCCGACCCCATGCTGTCCTTGGCAAAGGACAGGCCCCAGCCCGCAAAGATGCCGCGCAGGCCAATCTCGCGCAGCTTCTCGGCGCCAAAGCGCCACATGCTCTGGGGCTTGCCGCTGCCGTCGCCGCCGCGCATCAGGTCCTTGTGGTCGTAGCGCGCCTGCAGCGCGTCCAGGGGCGCCGCGACCACGCTCTGCAGAGCGCCCGCGAGAAAGCCCGCCGTAAAGGTGCTGCCCGGCGGCGGCGGCGGGTACGCGCGCTTGGTCGCCTTGCCGCTGCCCTCGTGCAGCTGGCCGAGTATGTGCAAGTAGCTCGTGTACAGCACGGCGCCGACGCCGATATTGGCAATCAGCGGCGGCAGGATCTGGTGCGGGATGATGCCCCAGCCCTCGTGACGGACGGCCGACGTGAGCACGCCGGGCGTGGTGCTGCGCGCCCATAGCCACGACTGATGGAGCAGCGTCCGCCACCGCGAGCTGCTGCTGCTGCTGTTGCTGCTGCCGCTCGCGGCTGCCGTTGCGGCGCGCATCAGAGCCTCGGTGTGCGCATTGTGAATCGTCCGCGCGTAGGCGAGGTAGTCGACGCGGGTGCGGAAAAAGGCCTTGGCGGGCGCGCGAAAGTAAAAGGCTACGAGCTGCGCGCTGAGCGCCCGGACGCCCGCCGCAGAGGCCGCGGTCGCGGCGTTGCTGCGCGGCGCGCGACTCGGAAGCTCGTCGCTGTCGGGCGGGACGACGGGGAGGATGCCGCTGCGGGAGTCGCCGGGGGCGAGGATCGGATAGTAGGGTGAGGACGGGATCGAGGAGGAGTGCCCGTCGTTGCTGCGCCCGGGGATCATGGCGCCAGCAGCAGTCCCATCATGCGCAGAACAGTGTCCAGAATGGAGAAATAGTAAGTAGTAGCGCTGCTAGTTCGCGGGGTAAGAGGGCGGACGGGAGGAGGTAAAGGATGAGGTGGACAGAAGAGTGCGTAACGGGGCTCAACTGGTGGCTGGCTGTCTCGTTTTTCGGGCGTGATCGGTTTCAATGCGGTCAGATGAGCTGGGCGGCTGCGCAAGCGACCAGGGTCACGTGAAGATAAGAGAACAACCACGTTGACACAGGTTGGCAAATAAATATAATCGAGGAAAAATGATTTTGTATTTCTTCGCTATTTCTTTCATTCTGCGGTTTGGATGCTGCCTGCAATATTGCGGTGTGGCGCGCCCAAGCGTCTCCAGTATAACCTGGGGATGTAGATGCAGGGAAGCGCCATCTTAAATCTGGACGATAAAAGCCTGAGACAACTGCCGATTTAGTATGATCTTGGCCTTTTGGCATATGTGAAAGTCACATTCATCATTTTGCATTAGTGTCTGGCCGAATGGCTGGGAATACCCATTTCAAACATGTCTTTTGACAGGAGGCTGGCTTGATGGCCTTCCACCTGGCCGCCAAATAGTCTTGATTTTTCTTTGAAGGCAAAAGGTCGCCCTACGCATTAGACACGAAGACGCGAAGATAGAAGGCAGACGAGTAGTTAGGGTATCTTCCCAATGCACGGATTGTTTTGTTGCCGCTCATACCACATTGTCTTTCATGTTTTTCTCTCTCCATCGATAGACTGCATACGACTGCTATTGCATCCAAATGATCTGCGCTGCAATCACTGCCCTGGGATGGCGAGCAGTGACTGTCTTTGGGCTCTCTTTCCTTGGAGCCCCATGAGCAACCTATGACTATCATTGCTCCTACGCTGCCAGTCTCATTGTAACTTGGGCAGGGCCGTTTGTTCTCCCCGTGGCGTGCACATTGGGCGTCACCACAAGCCGACTGTTTTCCAAGGCACTTGTCCGAGTTCTATTCCCACTTCTTGTCAAGTTCGACATACCAATACCACTAAATCGTCACGTATCGCTCAGAGAAAATAGTGGCTTTGGTCATCGAGCTTGACAGAGGTACTATTTGGCAGCTGGTCCGGATAAAACCGAAATGCCCTGGCACTTATACAGAGTAGAAATCACCGGTAGATGTATAAATGTTGCGTCGGTGGAATGGACTATCGTAGTAAGTATTGCCTGTGCCGAGGGACAGTTTCTCCGGCAGCGGTCCCACAGCCAAAGCCCACGATGGACAGCCCTCAGGAGGAACAGGACGCGGCTCCTTGTAGGCGTCCATAAATAAAGGGTCATCGCGCCGCAGGCCCCTTTTTATCTTGCAGTTGAAGCATTCGACAATGGCTTCCGCCGTTGCCGCCATAACGGCGTATTGCTCTGGATCTTCGCATTCGGGGTCAGCAATGTTGGCAGTAGCCCAGCTCGGTTTGCACCAAAAGTACTGAATCTCAGCCGCGATGAGATGGCCGTCTCCCGCGCAGACCGCTTCATACATGCGATACAGAGTCCGCTCTGGCGTATCGCGGCTGCTCCACAGAGGTATGATGCGAAGAAGGTGCAGGTCGTCTCCCCTGAGGTGAACCGGCTTCGGGTTCTCGATGAGAAGCCGCGGCGGCAGCGGAAGCTCGGCGGCAAACTTCCAGGTTGGAAAGGGCCACAAGAGTCCCAGAACAAAGAGTACCGGGCTCTTTATCGGGGGATGCCGAACAGAGCGCGCGAAGCGAACGGAGTGACGCAGGTGAAGCGGCGTCTCGGTTGGGATTAGGAGGCGTCTCAGCTTGATCAAGAGCCACCTATATTTCAATGGAAGGTAGCGAAAATTCCATAGATAGACGATCATCTTCCTAAACCACTCCATGTTGCATGTTGGGCGTGGCTTCTGGCGATGACAGCCAGCTGCGGCTGGCCACCGCTCTGTTGAAAGATGATGTCAAGGAATAAGTTGGCCTGGTCATTGAGAGGGTGGGTCCGCAACATTTGGGCGAGGCCTGCCAATTTGGCTTTTCCCGATTTCTTGATTCAAGGCATCAAGGCCTTGCTCAATGGCCTTTCATTTCACGGATCATGTCTTTTTCCTGGCCTTGAACGCCTGGCGACCTCGCGCTCGTCCTGACCGTGGCCGGAACTCGCAAACCCGGGGCTCGGTACCGATATTAGCGCTGGGCCCAAGGCTACTACCGCTGCGGCTACAACCGTGACCTCTCCACGCGCTCCGAGGATTGATAGAAGAATGTCATATGCTAGAGCTAGCTACACCATGTCGTCACGGCGCTTGTGGCGCAGACACGGATTACCTCGGACAAAGTGTAACAGAGGCTGCGCCTGCCAATTTGTACCAATTTGACTTGAGATAACATTCACGAGAGACAGTCTTTTATGCCTTCTTTCTTTTGCATCGGGGACTCCGCCAATGTATTGAAAGCCATTTGACTACAACCAAACTGATACCATGAGCTCGCTCCAAGTTATCAACTCAAGACTCAGATCGGGGCTGTATACCCGCAAATCATCTCCTTCTTTACTACATGCTACGGCTTTGTCGCGCGGAGATGGTTTCCGGAATCATGGGTGATTTTGGTGTAATTTCGACTTGTTACACGCCGCGGGCGCAAGAGCTTGGGCACAATGGTTGGTTCTTGGCAACATTTGTGCTTGCCGCACGCAGCACCGGCCGAAAGCGACCAGCGCTAGCTAAACAGCAACCGGCGACTATTGATATGCGAAGAAGGCGCTTCCGTCTAGGGAAATTCATTAGGTTAAGAAAAGGTTCCGCTAGTTTTTTTCGACTGCCCAAGCACGCAGGTGACAAGAAAAGCTGCTGGTTCTGCTGCGAGGATCGACGGTAAGAGACGGTTTCCGCATCCGTACCAAACGGTATAAGATTCCGCATACACACCTCTTCTGATGTTCCAACTTGGCTTCCCAGGCAATTTAACGGTAACAGATTCCGTGTTCATACCTCGGTCGATTCCCCTGCTCTAGCTTTCCGGGAAGATTGACGGTGAGAAACAGAGTCCGCATCCATGCCTCTGCCACGGGGAATTTTGAGGTTTAGAAGCGTCGCATTCATGCCTGGTCTTTGGTCCCGAAAAGATTGAGGAACAATTTCCGCCTTCAGCCTCGTTTAATTTTTCAACTCTAGCTTCCCGAGGAAGACTATGGTAAAAACAGTTTCCGCATCCATGCTAGTCTACCTTGGTGATGATGAATCTCATTCTCGATCCAATTTGATCTTGATCCTCTTTTTCTCCCTTTGACCAATGATGCGTGTTGTGACATGAACCCCCAAACCGTCCTCGGAACTGAAACAGGGTAACTAGCAATGACGGCGAATGCCGCTCCCTGCACGCAGCGCAATGCGCGAATTGACTCGCCATCTCGAATCACTCGGCGTTGGAAAGCGAAAAGATTCTACAGCAACAGTAACAGATGCCAGACTGGTCATGCATAAACCTGCGCGCAAATGGAGCGGATTCCATTGGGCCATTTTGCTGACAGATTCAATCACGGGGTCCCTTGCCGAACGCTACATCGGCGCGCCCGTGCAGGACTTATGCGGAACATGCGGAACGCCCGCTCCGAAGCGAGAGTCATTGAGATGCAGATGTATTGCTAATAATCATCACTAGATCAACCGTCACAACGGGTCGCAAACCTGGGCGGACATGACGCAATTGGCCGATTGATGCTGTCGTGGGCCAACATCAAAGGATCATACGCGCGGGAGGGCCGGGAGGGCAACAGTACAGTAATCAAGGTGCAAGTAAGATGGGATGCGAATAGTCAAATGGCGGGCCAGTCCAAGTGTGCTGCGGCCATTTCATTTCGGCGCCCATCTTCGTTGACAAAATAATTACATTATAAATTTGGCCCGTCAACAGTGTCCGGATGCAGTGGCCGCAAGCGGTGATTGAGTCAAGTCAGGAAAAATGCGCGCAGGCAAGTTGTGGGATGGGCGATGCTTAGCCCGGAGTTATCCCCGCATCGGCATACATATTGATCTAGTAAAAGAAGAAGGGCAATTGAGTTTATCGAGTGTGGAGCGAGCTCCAAAGCTTTTTCCTGGGCTTTGCTGCGCCGTAGAGGCCCGTGATAGCCAGGCACTCAGCACAAAGTTGGCATTCTGGCTGTCAGGCTCTCCCGCTCTCGTCCGAAAAGCTAAATGCCAACTCATTCATAGGGTGGCCAGATTAGCTTTTTGTGGACAACCAGCCACCAGCGGTCTCTCTGGCCTATGCGGTGTCCGAGCCACCGAGTCCCGGAGGGAGGGCGGTTTAACCACTGTTACGCTCTGTCTGGTGCGACGCCGTTGTGGCGAAGAAGAGACCGTCTCGCGCGCCATCGGGTGTACCTTATAGTAAGAAACAAGACGTTAGCAGAAGAATCGTTGGTGCGTTATTTTGCTAGTTGCTAGTCTAGTTCCTCTCGAGCCTGAGCCCCTGACCATTCACGACCACAAGACTGTCCAAGCAAAAAACAAGTTTTTATTTTTATTTTTATTTTTAATTTTTATTTATACAAAACCAGCCACAATAAGCAACTCAAGAACAAGCAAAAACGCCTGTCCCGCTTTACTCCTGATCCGTTTTACTTCTCCATTGTCGCAAAAAAGTTAAAAACACAAAAAAGGATCGCGGAGGCGCATTACTCTATAGGGAACGACGATCTTGAGCGATGTGCAGTCCATGACGAAGCGCAGAATAACGCAATTGGGCCAGCCCACGCCGATAATCGAATCATGATTGGACTGGGACGGGTGCGTCAGCCATCGCTTGGCCCTTCCCCCCCCCCCCCCCCACCGCCGCCTCCCTCCCCTCCTTCCGGCTCAGCGGCCCATGGAATGTTGTGTCCCGCCGATCAAGTTTCGAATCCAGTGGCCCGCCGGGCGCGAACATGCAACCCCGAAGCTTATTGAGATGGGGGCCGCATTTGTCTTCTCTTGTTTAAGGCCAAGCACGGCCAAGTTGCTTGGATGCTTGAGCCAAGCCAGCGTGGGGTGGTTACCTAGTCAGTTACTTGCTTCCGCCGTTCTTGGGGGAGTTGGACCGCATCGAGACATTGAAGTGGGATGGTCAGGTCATGCCAATTGCGCCGTCTGGGCGACAATGAGTTATTACCCAGTTTATTTCTCTGTAGAGTTTGTATATATATACCTCTTTCGATTCGTCCGCTTCTCCCTTTCCATCCCTTTTCCTGTTTTTCTCTCCCCTCTCTCTCATCTTGATCAATTACACTCGTTTTCTCAAGTAAAACCGTCAATATGAAGTTCCTCACCATCGCTACCGCTCTTGCCAGTAAGCATCCCCCCACTCACTCACTTACTAACATCAACCCTACCATCAAAGTGCAATCACTGACAAGAACTTTTAGCCGCTGCCGTTGCCGCCGAGGTCGGTGCCCCTGGCGCCGCCGGTGCCCCCGTCACCCAGATTGGTGACGGCCAGGTCCAGGTCGGCACCCAGCCCACGGCCCAGCCTGCTCCCGCCAACCCTGCGCCCGCCAACCCTGCTCCTGGCACTCCCGGCGCTCCCGGCGCTCCCGGCGCTCCCGCTCCCGGCGAGCCTGCTCCTGGCACTCCCGGCGCTCCTGGCACTCCTGGCGCTCCCGCTCCCGCTGAGCCCA